AAAAGTTAAAAAAGTAACATAATGACCGTCCATGTATTATTCACCCAGCTTCAGCAATCATGGCCATTCTTGCATCTTCTATCAACTTCACTCATCTCCTTACTTTCTAATTATTTTAAAGAAAATCCTACAGACTTTTATTTAAATGGCTTCTTTCTTTAATTTATTTGGCTGTGTCAGGTCTTAACTGCAGCACCCAGACTTCTCTAATTATGACCGATGGGCTCCATAGTGCTTGGACTCAGTAGTTGCCCTCTGGCATGTGGGATTTTAGTTCCCCAACCAGGGATCAAACCCATGTCTCCTACATTGCAAGGTGGAATCTTAACCACTGGAGCACCAGGGAAGTCCCTGGATCATTTTCTTTAATCTTCACCAAAAAAGCCTTACACCTGTTCTATAGGTCTGATAGATCTGTTACCTATCTTATAAATGCCGAAACTGAGCTTTAGTGGGGAGAGGTAGCTTGCCCAAGGTCACACAGCAAATATATTTTGGGATCAGAATTTGGATGCTAGAGCTCCTGCTACTCACCACTATGCTAACCTGCTCTGAATGGAAGTTTCTGCTTGTAAATATGTTGGTTACCATGAAAGTCTAATCAAAATATGCCAAAGAGAATTGCAAATTATATCAAACTGTTAAGTGTACAGTAATAACTATAACTCATAGAGGAATTTACATTGTGATTAACTTTAAGAGAAGGAATAAAGTAGGAAACTAATTTGGTAGAATATCTTAATGCAAACTCCTTGCTTTCTGGTATAAACTGAGTTAATACCTTATGAAATCATTCTGATATTGGTCTTGTCAGGAATCGATTTAAAGTGCTGTTTCTTCATTACTTCCTGTCTCTCCATTTTTATCAATGGAGACCTCGATCTCCTGTTAAATTCTAAGTCCTTTGTTCTTTGTATTCCTTCTTCCCAGTAGTATTATTTTCTTTTTCTAAATTAGCATAGATGTTTTTCAGGTTCTAAATTATCATAAAACAGCTGAAAACCATGATTATTCTGATCTTTCTAGTTCTTCCTTCAGTTTAACCATCTTTGAGTCTGTGGAAGAGATAAGATTTCATGGTATTACTAAAGGAAGCATCTGAAATTTTGAAATGAGTCATCAGGTAGAGTGCTTAGCTTATTTTCTTATATTCAACAGTTCTCATATCTTATTAAGGGACAGTGCATTCAGCAGTAAGACTGTTTACTAGACCATGAAATAACCTTGATTTCAGAGTTGATTCAGCCTTGATTAATCAATCTGGTCTTTATTGACTCAGTCACCTTAGGCAAATTATATAAACTCGGCCTGAGATTCACCACCTATAAAGTAGTATAACAGACCTAATATGAATGTGAACATACATAAATAACTTAGATGAGTGTAGACACATGGTATATGATCTGTGAGCATTTCTTCCTTTCCTCTCCCCCAAGGTTTTATAATAGAAAAGAAGTTAAGAAAGGTAAATCAGGAGTGTACTAGTAAGCCCAAATGAACCATAATAAGGAAAATAGGGTGTAAAAGCACCATGAAAAATCTTACATTTTCATATCAAAGGCATACAAACAGCATAAGATCCCAGGAGCATTGGGAAAACAACACAGATATTTTAATCTATTAGGTTATACCTAAGAAAAGTAAATTTAATGGGATCATTGTGTCAAGTGATGTTTCATTTTCCTTCCCCTCCCTCTTCTGTAATTCTCCTTAACATTCTGGATAGCCTTTCCTGATTCTATGAGAAAAACCTCTGGAGATAATAAATATGAGTTAAGCTGTATAGCTCATTCTAGCTCACACCCTGCCTGACACTTCTGAGCAGTTTAGTCGAGGCTAAAAAAGCCTGGGGGGTATTATTCTTTGTCTCTCTTGGGCCTTCCCCTTAACAATTCTGCTTTGTCTCTCTCACTCCCCTTTACTATAAATCATGTGCTCAACACCCTCAAAACTCCAGAGTAGAGCAGTCTTAGGCAGCTCTGTCCTGATAGCAGCATGCCAAACATGTGAGAACTTCACAGAAGCCCGTTTCTTGTCTTGGTGTCATCTGCTCAGGGAGGAACCAGAGAGCCTAGGCAGCACTTCGAGTTCAGTGAAGGGTGTGTCCTACAAGACGGCACCATTGCTGTGCCAGGAGCGACTCTTCGCGTCTGCTTCCCAGCTATATTTGCCCTTTTTTTTTTTAATCTGCCTTTTTGATAATTAAAGGCAAGACAATGGAATCTTCAAGTTTGACAGAGGTCAGTTTTGCATTCAAGCCTCTGTTTGAACCTACATGGAGTTTTGCTCATATTTACTAGGAGAGTAACAAATACTGGCTTGTAATTAGCAAGAGTCATCTGTAGGAGTGGAATTAAAAATTATGCAATTTGAGAGATCTGAGCTTCCTTACTCGCCAAATATTTTCCTACCCATAGGATACTACATGGGAAAACCTAATAGGGATATCATTTCCAGGTACTAATTGATTGGTGTGTACTGCTTTTCTTATCACTTTCTGCATTGTGGGGCATTTAGGAGTTTTATATGAGAGGGATAGATAACTTTGGAGCATCCTGCCTAGGAAGGACAGGCTTAAAAGGTACCTTGTAGGGGCTCTAGGAAGTAATGGGGAAGAACGAGGTCGCCTGGGCAGGCAGATGGGAGTATTCTAGAAAAGAAAAATGTATTAAAAAGATGAAAGGGTACAAAGCAGCTTCCTTTTCTTTTCATAATTACAGCTATGAAAGATTGACAAATGAGAAATTGTATGTAACATGAACATATGTGATAAAGCTAAAGTGTCATAAACAACGAGCAAAGTAGTAAAACGTGGTTCTGTTTATACTTATATCTAATGAATGATCAGTTCTTAATTTAAGAAAGACCTTTATATCTTTTAAATTTTGTATTTATTTTTATTTTTTGGCTGTGCTGGGTCACTGTTACTTGCAGACTTTTCTCTAGTTGTGACAGGCGGGGTGCTGCTCGCTAGGTTGCCGTGCGCGGTTGTGGGCTTTTCATTGCAGTAACTTCTCCTGTTGTGGAACACAGGCTCTAGGGCACGTGGGCTTTAGTAGGTGCGGCTCCTGGGCTCTAGAGCACAGGCTTAAAAGCTGTGGCGCATAAGCTTAGCTGTTCCTTGGCATGTGGGATCTTCATGAATCAGGGATCGAACCCATATCTCCTGCATTATTAGCAGGCAGATTCTTTACCACTGAGCTATCTGGGAACCCCCTATATCTTGATTACATATCTTAGTATATGAACCTTTTGCTAGAGCCACAAGTCCTACTATGGCACATAAGATGTGAAGTTAAATTTGCAACTTTGGCAGTTTAATAATTTTAATAACAATAATTTTATAAGCATTAATGTCTTTAATCAAGGCTCAAAATCTAAATTAAATCCTGGAATGGTTAGAAAGGACAGTAGAATTATAAACAAAACTCTAAATGTAATGCTTTCCTGTCCTGGGAATGGGATATTATCACTTTTTTTTAGATGGTTCTAATAAAAGTGTTGGTTAGCTGTGGATGTGACTAAAAAGATCTGTATGTGACCAGCAGGCCATTCTAGATCATACACATGTTATGGCAGTTTTTGATTTGTAGTTCTGTTTATTTGAAGGCTTTGTGCTACTATTACATGTCACTTTCTTTCTAAGATTCACTTAAACACTTTTGAGAGTACATCTTGTTTTTCTACTTATTTTTTCATTCAGCACACATTTACTGGCGTACCAACTGTCAGATCCTACAAAGACGTAACAAAGTCCTTTCCTTCCAAGAGTTCAGTCTAGTATATTCGCAGTTAACAAACCTCCCTGCTTGTCAATGAGTGTACTGCGTGGCAGGATTTCTCAACCTCAGCACTTTGACACTGGGGGCCAGATAATTCTTTGTTGTAGGAAATTTGTGTCAAGGAGCATTATAGGATGTTTAGTAAGCATCCTTGGCTTCTACCAGCTAGATACCAGTAACACGGCTCCTCCCTACCCCGCAACTATTGACAATCAAAAAATTCTCCAGATATTGCCAGATGTCCCCTGATGATAAATCCAGAATGTGAACCACACTTTTATGTGTCATTGACAAAAGACTTTTGTATAATTGGTTTTCAACATTTCACTACAAAGCTAGCAAATGTAATAAAAAGCACACAACCTAGTTAAGTCACACAGTGCTTATTATTACAGGTGAGGGCTCAAAGAGGAATACTATACACAGTGTATCACTGTTAATAATTAGAAGGCAAGACTCTTGGAATCTTCACCTATTAAAAGTTTTATGTTTCAATTTGGATGTTTATAAGATCACTTCCTGAGTTACTATGAGTTGCTAAGTTACTATGTACGAGAATAATGTACAGTTTCTTAGGGACTTCACTAAAATAACAAACCATATAGTAATTGGAAAGGGAGAGTCTACTATTAGTAAAAACTAGTTCTTTTCTCAGCTGTTTGTATCAGCATTATCCTTTTCTTGTTAAGAATGGAAGTGTTTCATTTTCTCTGGTGAAAAGCCTGGAATACCGGCACATTTTTAGAATGGTCTTTGTGTTCTGTAGGCATATATGACTTTGAATATTATTACTTTACTAATGGAATATTACCTGGCTTGGACTTCTTCACCTTATTGCTTTTCCACATTCAAACAATGTACAAAGAACATTCTACAACCAGGAATTCATTTTAATAGCTTCTTGAAGCTTGTCCTTTAATAATGCCTTCCTTCTCAAAGTAGAGGGACCACTTTCCTATTAGAACTGGTGCTTCCCTGGAAGTCCTGAAACCTGAGTCTTAGATTCAGCTCTAGTACTAACTTGCATTTGTTTACCATCTCTCAGCCTTAGTTTCTTCACCTGTAAGATATAGATAGATAGATAAAGTTAGGTTTATTTTATCATGCTTTCCAGGTAAGTATCCTAAATTCCACAGTCTTTGCAAACAAGCTTGTTTTCTTATTCTTACAGAATATCCACATTTCAGTTTCTGCACCTTCCAAGAATTTTAATTCACCATGGATAATCTGTCAGCAGAAGAAATGCAGCTGAGGGCTAACCAGGTTACTGATGAGGTAAAGGTTTTACTTGGAATAAGTCATTCATTCCCTTTCAGTTTTCACAGTGGAAGCATGGCGGGGCCTTCTTAGAAGACCATTTTGGCCTCTCCCTAGTCTGTTTATATTAAAGAATGCATTTGCCCTTGAGTGCCATAACTACTAGCCTCTTATTTTGCCAACTCATCCAAAAACTAAATAAGTGCAAACAATCTGTATGATTTGTTTTTAAATAGTCATTACTGAATAGTGACTTAGAACAAAGATAGATATAAAGAATTCTGGATGTTTAATTTTAACAGAATTTTCTAATATCTGTGTAATATCCCTGGATTTCTGCTGACATTACATTTTTATAAATCCCATTAACTATACTCTTTCAGATTTTCTCTTAAGCATCTGGTAGAAAGAAAATAACTAAAATTATATTAGTAAACTTTATTTTTTGTTTTAAAGAAGGGAGGAGTGGATGGGCTAGCAATCTTTAAAAATAAAGTAGCATCATGAATATGGCCTGTGATCAGATTTGGGGGGTGGAGGTGTGCTACCTATTTTAGAATGCTAAAACTCTTTTTTTTCCCTAGTCTCTGGAAAGTACAAGGAGAATCCTGGGTTTAGCCATTGAGGTAAGAACGTGTTTAACCATCAAGTTAAGTATAGAAACTGTATAGACGGAGTTTTGATAACACAGACTAGAATTACTGTTGAGTTAGAATGATATTGTATCAATAAGCTTTATTATTTGAAATCGGCAATTGCTGAAATTGTCAAACCATGCACTAATGGGCCTTTTTGGCTTTTCTAATTGATAGTATTGGAATATAATAGGGAAAACAATTCACCATGAGTTTGTGACTTAATTATTTGGGAAGGGCGTTAATATGTTAGGGTGTGTTGGTTTGGGGAGGTTAGTTTTCTTCTAATCCTCTGAGAACTTAAGTTTCTAGTGTTTCTGCCTTGCTGTTTTCCAGACTTTGTAGCTTTTGTTTCTGTTGGTTTGGTTTGGTTGTGCTATCAGCTTTTTTCCCTTCTTTTAGTCACAGGATGCAGGAATCAAGACTATCGCTATTCTGGATGAGCAAGGGGGTGAGTTGCAGTCATTGGCAGGAACTCTTTTTTTTCCTTTATTTTTTATTAGTTGGAGGCTAATTACTTTACAATATTGTAGTGGTTTTTGCCATACATTGACATGAATCAGCCTTGGATTTATATGTGTTCCCCATCCTGAACCCCCTAGCAGGAACTCTTGATTTGATTTAGAATGCCAAAAAGCCTTTTCAAATCAGCCACATTTAAAATTAATTAAGCCTTTGGGAGTACCTTTCCTTTGTAAGATAAGAGTGATATTTTGTTTCTTTTCTTCTGATTTAATTTATATCATGTTTTGTTGCCTATTTGGGGTGGGGGTCACAATATCCCATTGTCCACCAAGTATTTATTTATTAGGTAGCAGGGCTTATTGTGTGCACTGGTCATTTGTGTCCTGGACATTATGATATTCTTTCATCATTTTCAGAAATCAAGTTACATCCTTGTGGAATTGGAAACATTGCATTTGATTTGGCCCTGAGCAATCCGGTCTAGTTTTTATTCATCTTAGGACAGTCTTTGGGTTTTAAGCCTATTCAGTAATAGAAATGCTAGGAATCTGGTCTAGTGAGGCCTAAACCAATCCTCACATGCTCCTATTATACAAATTTCTTTAGAACAAATCTTTCCACAGTCAGAGGCCAGATACCCTAGGATCAGTATGTGAAAGACTTTTAAATTCTGGGCAGCATGTAATGCCATCTGGCCCTGATACAGTCACTGTGATGAATTGTTGGTGGACTCAGGGTTAAAGTTTGCTCTTCCATTATACTAATAATAGCACTTTCTGATTGGCAGCATGAATGTAACATAAAATTTAACTTCCACAACTTATTCTTAGAACAACTAAAACGCATAGAAGAAGGCATGGACCAAATAAACAAAGACATGAGAGAAGCAGAGAAGACTTTAACAGAACTCAACAAGTGCTGTGGCCTTTGTGTATGCCCGTGCAGTAGGTGAGTTGGTAAATCCAAATCTTTTTCAAATAAATCTAAAGTGAGAGTATTACCCTCAGAACCCCCCCTCTCAGCCCCCAGTAAGTGTTGCAGGTCCTAAATAAGAAACTTGGTTAGATCAACTTAATCTCTTTCTCCTTCAGGCAGATCGAACTTTTTATATAAATGGGCACACTCGCTACCGTCACTTAAATTTGATCAATCTTTTGATCAAGTCCCAATTCCATTTTTACATAATACATGAAAAGGTTAGGAAATATCCATCTGGATAATACACAGCAGGATGAAATTAGTGTGTTCTCCTTTCAAATAAGGAGAATTAATAAAACATGTATTCTGTGGTAGGCACATGAGGGATGGCCAAGGAAATAAAGGACTTGGATCCTGGCATCAAAGGACTTACCATGTGGTTGGATAAATGAGACAGAATAGCAGAAAGTAGAAGCTATAGAAATCTAGTTCTAGATCTGTGACATCAATGGAGGCTAAGGGTACAGAACTACTAAAAGTTATTTTGGAATTCATCTTAGAGGAGAGACTGGACTTGAGTTGGGCTCTGAATGATTAGAAAGATCTGGATGGGCCCGGCAGAAGTGGGAAGACATTTCCTGTGGAAGATTTAATGTAAATAAAGACTACAGAGGAGCTTGACTCAACTGTACTACATGATTCACATGGAGAAGAAGTGGAAAATAAGACATAAGTAGGCAGTAAAGGAAGTTGAATGCCAGCCTAAAGGGTTGATTGATTGGAGTGGAGGATATAACTGCACACCAGGAGACCAGTTAGGAACATTTTGTAAACTAGGCCTGTGAGCTATAACCTTATTATTAAGATTAGAGAGAAAAGTGTAAGTCAGATTCTCTTTAAATCAACTGAAAGAAAGAAAGAAAAGTGAAGTCTCTCAGTCGTGTCCAACTCTTTATGACTGCATGGACTGTAGTCTACCAGGTTCTCCCTGTCCATGGAATTTTCCAGGCAAGAATACTGGAGTGGGTTGCCATTTCCTTCTCCAGGGGAATCTTCCTGACCTGGGATCGAACCCGGGTCTCCTGCATTGCAGGCAGACGCTTTACCATCTGAGCCACCAGGGAAGCCAACTGATTATGTGTCAAATGTGAAGAAAGCGAAGTCGCTCAGTCGTGTCCGACTCTTTGCAACCCCAAGGACTGTAGCCTATCAGGTTCCTCCATCCATGGAATTTTCCAGGCAAGAGTGCTGGAGTGGGTTGCCATTTCCTTCTCCAGGGGATCTAAGGAAACATCAAAAGAAGAGTGAAGATTTGAAGCCTCTAGTAAACTAGGAAATGAGAAGTCTTCAAATATTTGTGTATAATGTATGAGATAATACTTGACAAAAAAAGATTTCATTCTTTTTAGTGACTTTATTATTAATATTTCAATTCTCTCCTCAATCTTGAGTAAAACAACCTCCATGTGTTGACAAATAACATGCGTATTCAGACAAAGATGAGAAGTCATCCATCAACTTTGAACTTCACCTTTGGCCGAAATGACATCATCTGAGGATTAAATGACTTATCTGTTCTGCTGAGCATATTCACTTTTAAAACAGCTTTGTAACTATCCAGTTGTCTCAGCCGCTGTGATATAGCAAGACCAAGATAACAAAAGTTTACAGACTCAGCGTTTTTTACTCCTCTAAAGGAGTTAGGAATGGAGGAGCTTTTGTTCTGTCATACTTTCAGTTAAGTGTTTTCATGTGACAATATTCTTTGTGCTATTTCTACCTAAGAAAATCTAGTTAAATTATTTATTAGTCAGCTTTAGTGTTTGGGCATAAGAAACCAAGAAAGACAAGTCTGTTGACCTGTTTATTTAGACCTTGGTTGACTCTCCAAAAGTGTATATTTTAATAGCAATCACCTGTGAGTCAGGGTTTACCATATTAAGCAAACAAGTTAGAAACACACAGACTTTTTGATCTAAACTCTTAACTATGTTTTTCACACTCACTTGTGCTTTTCTTCTATGTTCTGTGTACCCTCTTGGAAGAGGTCAGGGGGAAAAAACAGTACATGAACTTCCTTGAGATGAGTATTAGAGAAAAGCAAAGAAGAGGAAGTTCTCTGTAGAACCTAGAGCAAATTATCTCTGAATGAATCCTGAGATGGTCTAATATCATAGAAGGTGAGAAATGGAGCTATAGAAGTATTATTTTTCTTTTTCTTTGTGTACCCAGCCAAACATGGGCAGGATTTTCTTGGACCATAGGTAGAGTATGCTCTTAAAGCAGTCCGTCCTCAATTGTTCCTTGAAGAGAAGAGAACAGTGTTTCAATTTAAAGGCTGATTTTAATTGCCTTCCTCTCACCCATTTCTCCTTTATACCATTGAGCCCTTGCCCTCTATGGTATCTCTTCTGTTTTCACTCCTGCCAGGGGCGGATCTTTCTAAGTTTATCTCCTAATCTGTGTTTCAGTTAGACTTATATAAATAGCCATAACATGAGCCTGTCAAAGGCAGAGACAGTATCTTAGTTTTCTGTATAAAGCTAGTACTAATTATGGTACTAGTAATAACAGCTCAGGTCCATAATCTCTCATCTGCCATTTAGAAATCTAAAAATTTTTGAAAGCCAAAGGTTTGTTTTTAATTAGGCTTCAAGATGTAACCTGAACTGAAGCTGTTTAATAATCTATCCCACTTAGTGTAATGTTAATCTGTTTCACTGCAGAAATATTGACATATGTGATTATGTGGTACTGCTCAGGATGTCTCACATCCAAAGATTTGGATGAGAGCTGTGAGCCTATATTTAGGTTCTTACTATCCTGAACACTTGAAATGTAATCCTTACAGTAACCTTAATATGAGATAGTTTCTCTTACTATCACCATTTTGCATATGGGGAAACAGAGGCACCAGAATGCTACACTAGCAAGTGGAAGAGCTGAGATTCAAAAACAGGCGGAGCCCTAGTTTTTAACTGTATGATGTTACATTGCTTGACTGGCAAGAAAAGAATGAAACCTTTTGTTGCTGCTATTGTTAGATGTATTGCTATCTAGAAAATGTCTTCAGTAGATTTGTTTTTTGAGATTTCTTTTGTTCACTGGTATTCATTGAAGACATGTCAACAGATCTTTTTTTAATAAAACATGGAAATAGCTTCACTTAACTCTGTATTATAAGAGAAGGAAATTTTAATTTTAGCTCATTCTTTTTAAAGGACTACTAGAATTTAAAAACAGACTACCAGGATTAAACTTTAAAACTGTGAATAAATGCCATTCTCTTAGCTTGCTACTATTTGAATCCTAAAAACAAAAAGCACAGATCCTTATTAAAAATGTTATGTGTTTGTCAATAACTTGGTTTTTTGTTTTGGCCTCGCCTTGTGGCTTACAGAATCTTGGTTCCCTGAGCAGGGATTGAACTGTGGTTCCTAGCAGTGAAAGCGCTGAGTCTCCTGGACCAGAGTTTTAAAAGAGGCAGGTTTAAAATGGGAAGTCTCAGAATTGTAAACTGCCTAATGTCCCAGTTTAACCATGGTCAGACAAAGTAGTCTTTGGTCTTAACTTGCCTCTTTGCATTCTGTGCTTATATTGCCAAATATAATGGCACATAGTTTCAAGACAGGTTGGTATTTCTGGGCAACCTTACTAGAGAAGTTGAAAGTTGGTACTACAGGTTTTATACTATTGAATCATAAGTCATATTACGGTATAAAGATTCAGCTCTGATTAGTTAAAATAAATATTGAATTACTGTATTTTAGTCAACGTATGAGTGATTCCTTCATCCTACTCACTGGAGATACAAAGTATTGAATATTTTGCCTTCTTTTCATGTTGATTCTCATAATTTTAGGACAGAACATCATTGTTCAGACATTCTTAGGAAAAATGAAGTATACACTGGTTTAAATAGTTTTCTTATTTTTCTTTTTATCTAGATTCTCAGATGTTGGGTGTTTCTATGAAATCAGGCAGGAATTTAAATGCATTATGTTTTGAAAACTCTAAACCTGCTTCTGTTCTGTTTGATTGGCATTCACTACTTTCTGGATTTCATTCTCTCACTTAATCTCTTCCTTTCTAATCTGCTTACTAAAAATGAAGATTTAACAGCAGAAGCTGAGCTCAGTAACTGATCAAAGGGAACTGTAAGATGCAGTCTTGTGGCGCTGTTTGGGCTGTTAACCTGCTGTCTAAAGGTGATGTTTCAGGTGACTTTTCTGTGCATGTGCATGGATTTTGTGAATGGTGGAGACTCTAAAAGCTGTGCTGTGGTGTGTAATGTAAAGTGAATTTGTTCTTGATGAGTGCTGTTTGCCAGAAGATTGGATTGACAAGAAGATCTTAATTCATAATAACATCCTTTGACTAATGGTTCTGATACTAAGTTTTTGCTAAAAAACATTTAAGATTATAAAACTAAAAACACCCTTAAAATTTCCGAAGAAGTTTTAAATAGGTTGATCTTTATAGAGAATTGCTGCATTCTAGTTCTGATCAAAGGTAAGGGGATTCAGTCTAAATACATGGACTGTGATTTCAGCTTCCTATCTTGTGTTAGGTTTTCCTAGTCTTTTCTGGCTCCAGAATCAAGATTTCCCCAGTTAAATATTGCTTCTAATGATTTTGGATTCCCCATGATTTAGGCCACTGCCAAATTGAGGAATTAATTGCCAATGTAAGTCATCTTAAATGCCATTTGGAACAAGGGGGGGGGGGTATAAATTTAAGATGTTACCATATCTAGTATCTCCTTTTAAAAATAAAAGTTTGCCTTCTTTATATGTTATCACCTGTTCCATAATACCTTTTATGCCATATGTTAGCTTGCTGTGGTTTCGTATTGAATTAATGCAGAACTAACCAATCTTAACTTTTTATGAAGGATAACCCTCTAGTTAGCCTACTGTTTATTATAATATTTGACTCCTTAATTTTGGATCTTTATGGGAACTTTGAAGACCATAGTTAAATGTTAGAAAATTGTTTTATTTCTACCCTTTGTTTCTTGCTCTTCCTTTTTCTCTTTTCTTATAACCTGATCACTCCTCACACATGCACACCCTTGTAATTGTTATAATTGGCATTTTTAAAAAATATTTGTTTATTTGGCTGCATCGGGTCTTAGTTGCAGCACATGGGGTCTTTGTTGAGTCATGTGAGATCTTTCATTGTGGCACATGGAGTCTCTTGCAGGCATCGTGGGCTTCAGTTGTTGCTGCGCACAAGCTTAGTTGCTCCAAGGCATGTGGGATTCCATGTCCTCTGCATTGCAAATCAGATTCTTAACCACTGGACCACCAGGAAAGTCCCACAACTGATACTTGTTTGATCCCTTTTCTCTTTGGTATGAAAGAATTATAGCTAACATTGGGCTTTCTTTTTGCTGTTTTTGTTAGTACTAATGTTGACAATCAAAGCTCAAAAAAGAAATTATTAAAGTTATTGTGTTCAGATTTGTAGCAGCTTCATAAATTAAAGGATATTTCAAATTGTTATTTTAATCATGCTCTTTTTGAATGTGATATTTATCTGAAAAAATATGGTATTTAAAGATTATTAATTGGGCTTCCCTGGTAGCTCAGACAGTAAAGAATCTGCCTGCAATGCAGGAGACCTAGGTTTGATCCCTGGGTCAGGAAGATCTCCTGGAAAAGGAAATGGCAACCCACTCCAGTATTTTTGCTTTGAGAATTCCATGGACAGAGGAGCCTGACAGGCTACAGTCCATGAGGTTGCAAAGAGTTGGACATAACTGAGTGAGTAACACAACAAAGATTATTAAAGTCTTCAAAACTGATAGTCAAATCTAACTTTCTAGATGAGAATTCTTAATTACATTAAAATCTACCCCAAATTTGCTTAAGCATTTTATTATGAAATCTAATTTTTTCCCAGAGGGGCTGTTAATTTTGTTATGCAGAAGAGTTTTGTTGCAAATCAGAATGGTTTCTTTCTTTCTGTAGACCAGAAACAACCCTGGCCCCATTGTCTTTTTATGTAGCTATATTCCAACTATTTTCAGCTGCTTGTAGATCTCAAAGCTCAGGAATGGTAATGGGCGAGAAAAATAAACGCACCAGTTGGTAATTTGCGCACTTAAAGCTGTGAACTTTTTAACTAAGGATCAGATTGAGGTTGAAATGAAAGAACAAAAATATTTGTCTAGTGCTTAGAGAATAACTTTACATCAATTATCAACAGCTTTGTGAATTAATAAATATTGTTATCTTATTTTTATATATAAGAAAAAGATGCTCAGAGATGGAAATTTGCATGAGACTCTGTAGCTACTGAATGACAGGTCTGGGATTAGAATTCAAGTCAATTTACTATAAATCTTGTGGCTTAGAAAAATCCTGGTGTATACATTTGCTTCCTCCAGATTAATTCCTTAGTGTCCCAATACCTAGAAATGCTAAGGTAGACTACCAGAGTAATTTAAAATATTCCTTCTGCAACAGATTGGAAGTCTCTTAGTGTTTCTCTTCCCTGGTTGGAAGTGACCTATTGAATTTAAATAAAACCATAGTGACAATAGAAGATTCCTAGGCTCTACCCCATACAAATTGAAATAGAATCTTCAGAGTGTAGCCTATTTACCTGTGTTTTCAAAATCATCCAGTTCACTTTGGTGCTCAGTCAAGTTTGGGAAATAGTACCTCTTAAGGCACTTGAGACCCTTTGAAGGAAGGCAAATTAATTAAATCATTATTGTTTTTATTAGATACACAGCTGCCTGACAATGCCCTCAAAAACAGGTATCTTTTAGGGTTTTACAGCTCAGTGGGAGAAGCTCTGTGGTAACAGCATGTGGCAGGATCTTAAGCAAGCCTTATTACCTGGAGTACAGGTGCTGAAAAAGGTTGATGATATGCCGTCAACAACATATAAAGATCACTGCTTTGTAAACATGCAGAACATGTCATAAATGCATAAAGAAAGCAGTATAGCTTTTTTTCCAACCTGTTTGAAAATGAATATGAAAATTCAATTGAAGTCAGCTTTTTGCACCTTTTCCCTTTGATATTTGAAGAACATCTTCAAAGATCCAGTCCTCTTTAAGGAGGAAGAGTTTGATAACCAGTCTGATTTTGTTTTAAATTATGCTTTTATTGAACCTCATTCACAATATCATATTAAAACAATCTGTTTGTACTTTATGCCCCTTATATCTAATTGAAGGAAGAATTCTCAGAAGTTGAAGGAATTTCAAATGTCATTTTTTTAAGGTTGAGGAGGTTGGAACTCATGTATATCCCTTGTTAGACCAAGAGCCCACAAATCCTGTCCCAGTCCAGTGCTTATATGCTAAGACTGCGAAGCACAGTGTCTTATTATTTAGCGACAGTTTGAATTCCAGCCCTCATTATTTAACCTGTTTTACAATCTGATATCCTAGTAAGAGTCCCACTTATGTTATTTCTATTAATATTTCTGGTTAACTTTCTGATAAATTTATATCCCGTTTATTTTGCTAAGTTACTATTATGCTGCTTTAGAATTTTGCCTGAGAATTTTAGATAACATGTATCTTGTTAACAGAGAATACATGTAAATGGGTTTTCTACTGAATAGAAATTATATATAAATATTCGTTCAAATAATGTGTATTCCCCCTTGTTCCAGGAAGGATTTAACATGGCTTATTAATAACCAAATAGATTGATTAATTAAACATATAGTACCCTTTCTTTAGCACTGATGATTAAGGTCTAAGATCCAGTTCTTGGTTTACCAAAACTGAATCCTCACATGATCCTAATAAGGAAGGACCCTCTACTTTCCTAAAATCTCTCCTTTGCTTTTTGCAATTTCAAAACTTCATTAATGTATCATGGAATCAATCAGAAACCAACATATCCATATACTACTTTTTGTTTATAGAAAAGAAGAAACTAAAATTGTGTGAGTGGAAACTTTACCTAGCCAAGTAATCAGTAAAAAAAAGTTTTGTGTTTTTTGTAATACCTACTTAAAAGTCATTTTACCAGGTTCCTTTTCTTGCCATTTATATCAATTTAAGTAGCAAATCCCATGGTAAAATTCTGACTTTGGCTAATTTTTAGTTGTATCAGTTAATCTAAAGCATATACTTTTAAGAGATTTGGATCTAGGATTTTTTTTTTTAAGGTAGATAAGTAAACCCTTAAATAAAAAAGCCCTAAACCAAAGGATACAGTTGTGACTGGTAACAGTGTGGCCAAGTTCCTCATTCATTACTTGTTTAATTTGGAAATAATTCGTGCCTTTCTTCATGATATTTGTTTAAGAAAACTTTTTTTTTAAGAATTTAATGTTAACAATTAAAAGTTAACAATTCTACTTGTTTAATTTGGAAATAATTCGTGCCTTTCTTCATGATATTTGTTTAAGAAAACTTTTTTTTTAAGAATTTAATGTTAACAATTAAAAGTTAACAATTCTAAATTTTAAAAATGGGTCAGGTGGAACTACTACAGTTTAAGTAAGTGGGCAGCTGAGGTCTAAGTACTGCCCATTCTCTCTCTCTCATCCCTCATCAACCTCTGAGATGCTTCTAAGAAACCCTTAAGGCATCCCAGAACACCTTTCCTAATTTTTTTCTAGTGTCCTTTAACCTTTTTTCTGGAGTGTGTCAGAGGCTAGGGGAACCTGAAGAATCAAGTAATTACATTTTGCTAGTTAATAACTGCTCAGTGAAGAGTTGGTAAAAAGTAGTTTAACCTTCAAAAATTTATTTTTAATGTGGGTGGGTTTACACAGTTCATCTTTTCTCTATGCTAGATTGTGATGGAGCATGGTATAAATAATCTAGATCTAGCTGTATGTAGCTTTTATGCTAAGGGTGCTACAGCATCCCCAAGGTAACAAGCACTTATGATGACATTTCTCCCTCTCCTTTTTGGTGTCTCTACACTCCTGACTCATATAGGACAAAGAACTTTGAGTCTAGTAAAGCCTATAAGTCAACATGGGGTGATGGTGGAGCCAGCTCTTCTAGCAATATAGTATCTAAGCAGCCAGGCCGAGTGACAAATGGTCAGCCTCAACAAGCAACTGTAGGAGCAGCCAGCGGGGGATACATTAAACGGTATGCCAGCTCTTCCCAATATTTTTACCGTTTTCCTAAATGAATGTCTTTCTCTGGAGGTTGGGTGTATTTAGCCATGAACTGTAACTTTGATCAATTAGAAACAGCATTTATTCTTTTTTGGGGGGGATAGTTGGTTTTTTCATGTTTTTTTTTTTGTTTTTTGGCTGCAAAGCATGTGGGATCTTAGTTCCCCAACCAGGGATTGAACCTGGGCCCCCTGCAGTGGAACCACTGAACTCTAACCACTGCACCACCAGGGAATTCCCTTATTCCATTTTAAAATTTGCCTTCTGACAAAATGGTGACTGGGATTGTTGCCCTTAAATGATGGATTAACTTTTCTTTATAAAGTACTTTCCAAATTATTCAAGTAGTCATGTTTTATTTCTGTAAATAAGATGTGCTTTAAAATGTATCATTTAGAGTAGGAGTTGGCCAGATCCCTGTAAGGATATCTGTAAAGGGTCAGATAGTAAATATTTCAGATTTTCCAGGCCATAGAATCTGAATTATAACTACTCAATTCTGTTGTAGGGTAGAATCAGGCAATGGGCCACATTTGACTCTGGGCCAGAATTTTGCAACCCTATTTTTAGAGCAGTGGTTCTTTAGACTTAAGTGTGTATCAATCACCTGGGAGGTTTAGTGAAACACAGACTGCTGGGGTCCCTTCAGGAGATCTGGAGTAGTCTTAAGAATTGGCATATTTTCATGTCTAACAAGTTCCCAGATTATGCTGGGAGTTACACTTTGAAAAACCTCTAAAGTCGTTTCTTCATCTTCTCTTAAATGGCTTTAAGACATTGGTCTCTCTTGAATCAGCCTTTCCATTTTCACTATAGAATATTTCCCAAGAATGGTAAGCTGCATCTGTTTGGGTCTAACAGTTGCTGACGTCAATTTGCTTATTTTTACAAAAACTAAATCCAGACTCAGTCCATGTATAATTCACCCAAAAGTATTGAATTAAGTGTCTTTTTGTAATAGTATAACAAATGACGCCAGGGAAGATGAAATGGAAGAGAACCTGACTCAAGTGGGTGATATCCTAGGAAACCTAAAAAACATGGCTCTGGACATGGGCAATGAGATTGAAGCGCAAAACCGACAAATAGAACGGATCACAGAAAAGGTAAGAGCTTTTTACTGCCACAGGAAAATGGCAGTATGTACCTTTGTGCCAAATGACATCCAGTACAGTGTTCAGTAATAGACATCTGTGCTGTGTATTCTCAGGGAGAACAACAGGGATAAGACTCTGTCCTCACAGGCCTTACAGTTTTGATGAGTTTCTAACATGCTGAAAAACAACAGTCAGGTCCTCCTATCTCTTACTTAGTTGGTTCATTTTATTTTATGTTAAAATTTTTATTTTGCCTGAGCTAAGTAGTTCTGTTGATATACAGCAAATAAAATAACTTTATTGTTGGTTCATTTTGAAACCAAGACCTTGGGATCAACTGGTTTTATTTAAAATTCATGAAAATTAAATTTATTAAAAATAATAACAAAATTTCACCCATGAAACTCAAATCTCTTCTAACCTGTGAGCTGTCAGGGTTTTTTGTCTGCTGTCTTTCCCCTGAATGAGCAGGTTAGCTTTTGGAATGTTATTGTTAGCTAAATTAGTAAAATTCCTGAAATTAGTAAATTCCTGAATCCTCATCTCATGAGTCAGTAGGTAACAGTCAGTTCTGTGGAATGGTCCTTGTAGGGTGGACACGCAAAAACGAGAGAGAGTCCTGTGAACAGCAAAAAAAAGTGTGGTTGCTATTTTTTACTTCATATGATCTAAAAGATGCTGAAGTTAAACCATGTTCAGTGTTTGGTAGTATCACAACTAAAAGCCGTTCTTGTTACTTCACTAAAATCTCAGTATACTTTAAAGATTGGGGTTTCTCTGTTGAATAATTTATGATGGATTTCACTCGGGCAAAGAGTGGTTCATCAGATATTTTCAATGCTGTCATGTGGGTGTAGGCTACATTTTACCCATCAGTTTCATTTACAGATTGATGTGGATGGCAGTCCATCTGTTCCAGAGATCTTGGGGTAAATTATTTCAGTCTCTGGGTTAGATCTAGGGTAACTCCAGATGAGATTTCTATGGTTCAGCTCAGGGGACTCCCACAGGATCCAGACCTATAGCAGAGAAGAGCATTCTTATATTTTCATTGCATCTAAATGCCGTTGACTAGAAGATGCATCCTAGTTTCAGACATGTTAAGCTGTGAAAAAAGATGTTACAGAACTCACGAAATATTAACAAGTCCTTCTGTTAAATCTTTGCCGTGTTTATACACCCACATTTTTTCAAATGCATTTGATATTCTGTCACTTATTGCCCAAAATGAGTTTTGTAATGTGACTTTGACTGTTTCTTGAATTTTCTCAGTATATCAGTTACTCTCAGCATATGAAATTTAATGCTTATTAGAGCAACTTACCTTGTCAAGTAATGCTGGTGTCTTTTTCTTTTTTCCAGGCTGACACCAACAAAGATCGTATTGACAATGCCAATGCCAGAGCAAAGAAACTCATTGACAGCTAAAGCTACTGCTGTACTTCTGTATCATTTATTTACTTCCCTAGCTCCTCCTTCAAAGTCATCACCTTTCCAGAATTTGAAATTTTGGTTGCACACTCTTCTAATCAGGAGATGTGGAAGAAGATCTAGGAGTAACAGTCCCCCAATTTTTTAAATTTTCTTGTTTTCCCTTGAGGGTATTCTTAGTCTTCCTTCTAGCATTATCTTTCTCAGTCCATACACTTAGGTTGATTTTCATACATCATTTATAGTGTTATTTTTCCATCCTCTCCATTTAATTTAGCAGGTTCTTCTGCTTTCAAAATTTGGAAGTGTTGCCAAAGACAGCCATGTGAAAGGAAGTGGGAGGCAGTGGGGGCAAGCACAGGAGGTGAGGCAAGAGATAAGAGGTTGTTACATCAGTAAAACCTACAGACCCTAAAGCCAAAAGTGGCGTAACCACAGAGAATATCTGGTAGGGTTTAATTTTTATTTTAAGTTGCATTTATTGCCAGTTTAGGCAGTGCTTGGTTTTGGAGCCTGGGTACACAATGTTTTTGTTATGCATCACAACTTTGCAACCTCTGCTTCCAAAAAACAGAATGAGCTTTTTTAAAGTAAGCTTAATTTCTGAACTCTTGGTGATTCACCTATGTACATAGATTCTTTGATCCATTTCATATTGCACATATAGGAACACGTGGTATAAATGAGTAGCTTTATTTTCATATTATTAATAGTATCATGGTCCCATTACAGGCCTATTAACCTCATAAGTTTGTCATTAGTCTTTGAGGAAAAAATATGTAAATATGAATGTATAACATGAGAATTTCTCTCCACAGCAGGGCTTAAAATTGTTTGGAAAAGTTTGACAAAGTGTATCACGTGAATTCAGATTTACCTCAATGCCAAGAATTATGTTTAGATAGGAAAAAAAACTTATTTTGATCTCAGGTAGAAAATAGTTAGATTGCTTTGAGTTTTATGTAGCTTTAAACTTTTTTTAAAACTAGAATTTATTCTGTTTAACTAAAAATGATTTAGAAGATTATGCCTTTGGTTTACTTATTGATGATTGCACTATCATTCTCTTTTGTGCTCCACTTCCAGAATCACATTTGTTTATTAAGTGTTAGAATCTTACCGGTATTTGTCACCTTTATTTAAAAACCAGCTTCTGCACACTTCAAGGCTATTAATGTCGATTGGTTTGACAAATAACTACTGTTTGATCCTTACAATTAAATTTTGTAACTAATGGAATTGTTTTTTCAAATAGGTAATATGCTTCTGTGACTGCTTTGGGGGGATGGGAAGCAGTAATTTTGTCAGCTCTAATTTGACAAACTGGATAAAGCAAAGGTTCATAAATCAAATGGCACTGCAATAAAGAGCTGACTTTAGCACCCGTCCCAGCTTACTGGAAATATAGGACTTTCGCATCTGTGATTTGTCATGAAGTTCATTTTAATCATTACTAGTCTTTTATTCATTTGATCTTATACACAACCAACTGAAAGTGTTTGTGGGTGGATACCACAGCCTACTTCTGGAGGAGATAGTTAACATGGGAAACTTTCAAAGGCTGAAAGGAAAATATTTAAAGCAAGATTTTAATTAGGCCTTCAGAAATGCCACATGCTGAAAGGAATAGTTTGGCAAGTAGTAGTAAATGTGTAAAGTAAGAAAGTATAAAACACTGTAGTCTGTTCTTTACATAAATGCCCTTCCTAAAAGCATTAAAAAATTTTTTTAATGCTATTACGGCCAAAGGAAATTGTTCTGAAGATACCAATATGCTGTTCCAACAGTATATAATTGGTTAGAAGTGTGAGCTAAGGCACCAGATTGTCTGGATTTATGCTGCAGCTCTGCCGCTTCCTGGCTGAGTGACTGTAAAACCATTTCTTTGCCTCCGTCTCCTTGTGTGTAAGGAGGGATTAATGATTTCTACCTCATAGCATTGCTGGGAAGACTCAATGTGTAATGCATGTAAAGCACTTAGAGCAGTGCCCAACAAATGTAAGAGCTTATTTCATTAGACTGCTGATAGCTGCTGTTCTATCTAGAGTGGAGCTCTTTTTGGGTCAAGGACCTCTTTGTGAATTTGGTGAAGGATAACACAGCCTCTCTCTCCAGAGAAATAGACACACAAGCATACACCTGTGAATCAGGAATAAATGGGTCTTAAGAGCCCATCTGTGGATCCAAGATGACATACTTTTCCAAAGCTTCTGCTACTGAAAAGAAAGGAATGAGAACCTAGAAATTAGGCTCATAATACACTAGGAATAGAAGCTGTTGACCTAAGTTTTTTCCTCTAATATTGTCTGGAAACTTGTTCCTATTACTTATGAAAGGTAGTAATTGAGATGGTTAGCACAAGCTCTGGAGTCTGACCATCTGGATTCGAGTTTTGGTTCATTTACTAGTTTTGTGACCTTGAGCATAAAACCGACCCATAATGAAGGAGTTAAACAGTATCCTCCAGTGAACTTAAGTTTTGTTTATTGGTTAGCTCCCTCTTCAGATTTCTAGTCTTCTAATGACAGTGATCTTTATCCCCTATAGTTGTGCCTGTTTTTTTTCTTCCTTCACCCTTTTAATTCATTCTTTGTTACCATATTTCAACTCTAGATCTTTTTCATGTCATGTATGGATTATTAATCTCCACATAATTTTAACTTCTGCCTCCCAGACATCTGGTACTTAATTGCACTCAGAATTAGTTTCATTAAATGCTATTCTTTAGCATTTAAAGAGAGTAACCTAACTATCTTACTAAAATTCTAAGTTATTTCAATTACATTTCTAGTCATATTTATAGTTCTCAGATTGATAATCAAGTTCCTTATTCTCATTTGTTTTTCATTCTAACATAGTTTGCAGCAAGCCTTCTGTTTCACACTTGAAATAAAAAGCACCATTTATTGAGTCCTTACTCTGTCAACAGACACTATGCTAAATGCTTTTATGTATCTTTTCACCAAGTCCTTATAACACACCTGAGAGGTAGGAGGTATTTCCCATATTACAAATAAGAGTAAATTGCTCAAATTCATAAAGCATGTAAATAATGGACTTTGGATTCAAAGCAGGATCTTTCTGACTCTGAGGCTCATGTTCTTACTCAATATACTACACTGACTTCTAACCGAGCTCTAAAAAACTTGGGTGACTTAGAACTGCTGGCCACTAGAATCTCAGCCTCCAGACCATCAGCCTACTTTATTAACTTATATTTAAGTCTAAATACTTTTGGGCATATTACATTTAGTCCTTGCCCTCAAGTAGCCCAATCTAGCAAGAGACAGATGAATATAGAATTTGAGAAGTGCTACCATAACAGATGGAGCAGTTAATTCGGCTTAGATTTCTAAGGAGGGGGCTTAGACATAGAGAAGGAACATGTTAGTAAGAGAGGGAATTCCTGATTGAGCAAACAAGTAAAGACAAAGGAGAGAGACATTGCACTGTGGGTTTAATGAGAATAACCTGGTGAGACTGGACAGGCAAATGAGAGCGAAGAGAGAATATCTGGAAGTAAAGCTGGGTCCAGGTTGTGAAAGCAGTCATAAGGGGACCCCATTGATAATTAAATGTCTGGAGACATTCAGGTTGTTTAATTTATACATTCTGATTTATTAGATAAGTACTGATAAAATATTTAGAGAAATGTTAAGTAGATCAGTAAGATTAAGCATTAAAGTTTATAAAAAACAAAAATTGATGATAAACTGGCACCCCCATACCTCCCCTAGTTGAGAAACAGAGAATAACATGGGAAAAAGAGAACCCCTAGACCACATATAAGGTCACAGAGACTTTCCTCATACAAACACTAGGTTCTTGCGCTCTCTTGACTTAATTGTTAAACTAGGTTTATAAAATGAGAACTAACAATACATGGTAAATAACAGCCCCTTGGCTAAGACAAAACTTCAGAAAATAGTGGAAGCTTTCTAAATGGTCTACATTTTAGAACATTTATAATGTTCTAAATGTTTCTAAATTTCTAAATGTCAGTAGCAGTCTGAAATTATTTACTTTTATACCTTTAGTTTCTCTTAAAAAGCATGGTTCCTGTACCACAAAAATATTTATCAGTCACATGAAAGCATTTCAGTACTCTTGCAACCTGAACAAGATGAAATATTTCTGCCTAATCAGTTTACTTTTTTGCTTTTAATTTTTGGCTGCACTGTGTGGCATCTGGGTTCTTAATTCCCTGACCAGTATTGAACCCATGCTTCCTGCAGTGGAAGCATGGAGTCTTTAACCATTGGACTCCCAGGAAAGTCCTATTAATTAGTTATTTTCAAAAGGCCATTTACAGGTTAAAGTTCCCCTGTCTTCTCCCTTTAAAGGATTAACCTTTCTTCCAGCCATAGTTATTAAAAATATCTTTATTTAGTATATTCTCTTATTCAGAGAATAAATTTGATAAACATAAGTTGTAAAATATTGTAGCAGTAGTTTTTTTGATAGGTAATTTGATTATTAATAGTTATAAATACAAAAAGATTACCAGAAATAAGACATTGTTCCTAATAAAACTTCAGGAAAAACTTGATTATTAAAACCCTTGTATCTTACAAGTTTTGCATATAGAGTTTTAGCTCTTCTCAATAAGGCACCTGCAATAGTTAAAAAAAAAAATTGCTACTGCAGCCTTGCGGAACACCTCTTAGTGTTGTGTTGTTTCTCTGGCAAAGTACAGTGTTAATCAAGAGTCATATATTTACATACATCCTAAATTCCAAGAATAAATACTTAGAGGGACTGGAATAAAATCATAAATCCTCAGATTAAAATAGTGGCCTCTCACGAATTACCTGAATTTCATAAAAACATGAAGTATTAACACAGAGGTGGAATGGCAACTGATTTTATGAAAGCTCACACATTGAAACACATGAAATTTCAAGCTGTTGTGTGGAGCTATTCTGGTAACAGGCAGCATCTCCTCACTGTATACATAGCAACTAGCTACTGTGTTTCTTAAAGCCAAAGTAGTGATGGTTTTGAAAATCAACATTGTCCTTTGCCCTATCCATGACTCAAAATGGAGGACACTTCCTGTCTCTTGGTTCCTTTTAGCTTATTTAAGATGAGCCCTGGAAAGGAAAACGATCACTGCATGAAATGTGACCTCCTGCAGTATCATCTTCTTACAGCAGATACCCTTGACAACAACAGGAGCCTTTCAGTCAGCCAGATTGCAACAGGTTCCAAGTCAGTATACTCTATAGTTCCCATGCTCCTGGAGGACATCATGCAAATTTCTTCTTGGTGGCTGTGAACCTCTCCATGTACTAAAAATCATGAAAGAATGATGTGTTAGTATGCCTGAGAAGGTAATTAACTTATTGGTTATTTAGGATTTTTTTAATGGTTATTTAGGACTTTATGATTCTTTTTCCTTTAGGTTTTTATGATTCATTTCCTATAAAATCTACTTATTCTAGATGGAGATTTAAAGCACATGGTTTTGTGGAGTTTTTTCCTCCTTATATCCTAGTAGGAAACCTATCAAAAGATAAAGATGCTGTATGATAAGCTGTTTAGAGAAAAAAAAATCATCTTGGCACAATACCATTTGGCTGATTCTCAGAACCCACTTCCATAATGGGAACAAATCCTATTGACTTAAACAGGATTATATTGTACATACATCCTGTACATACATGTATCTGTAAACATTCATGTGGGTTACTTCACCTTTCTCTTCTCTGGAACAGGAACTAGAAATGCAGAAGTACAATACTACATACCTTATCATAGCCTTCCAGTTCTCGAAGTTTCTTAATTTCAAAAAGGTTGCCTTCCACAGCAAGCAGACAGATCTGTGAATCACTGAGGATGCTCTGTGGAAGCATACTGAGCTCAAGACAGTTCTCCTCCAGACGAAGAACTTTAAGACGAGGACAAGAAGATATCTTCACTGAGATCTGAGCTATCTATTGAACAACAGTTTTTTAAAAAGGATAATAAGGAAAAGTACAAGCACTATAGTGATTATTTTTTACTAAATTAAAACAAAAATCTTTACTTGACTATTTGTCCTAGTTCTTTCTTTTACCACCCCCATTTTCTCACTACCCACTCATTCCAGAAGCCTCTTGTGTTACCCAGCTTCTGTTACTACTCCTCCAGTTTTTGGGGGGAAAAATTTTTGAAGGTCACCAGTGGCTTTTTTTGGAGAAGGAAATGGCAACCCACTCCTGTATTCTTGCCTGGAAAATCCCATAGATGGAGAAGCCTGGTGGGCCCCAGTCCATGGGGTCACAAAGAGTCGGACACGACTGAGTGACTAACACAACACACAAGTGGCTTTTTGGAAACAAAACTCTGATAACAAAAGCACTGTTCATTATATAAAATTTGAGAATCACGAGTTTAAAGAAAACAGCTGCCTGTAATCCATCACTGTAAACATTTTGGTAAATTTACTGACAATCTTTCATATGTATGTAGATGCTAACCAGTTTTCTGCCAAAGTCAAGGATTCATTGACCTCATTCCCTGTTGCATTTGACTGTGCTGTCTATTCTTTCCTTGAAACTCCCTCTTATACATACTAAGTGCTGTGGGGTTTTTTTTCCCCCCTGTTTTTTGAATTATTCTGATTTTTTTGCTTCCCTTCTTGTCTCTGTGGGCATTTTCCAAGCAGCAGTCCCTAGTACTTAATATTTGATTTTTCTAAACTTTCTCCTAGGAAAGTCTGTTCATTCTTAAAGCTATCCCTTCTGTTAAACTATGTATCTACATCCATTTCTGCTCACCTCTATTTCCTCTCCTGTGTCTCTGATTTTCAATAAAGCACTTTGGATGCTTCAGCATCGTGCCCATTCCCAAGAGCACCACTCTTCTTTTAGCTCTTGAGTGCAATACCAAGCAGTTATCTTTGACTTATTCACCTCTTCTGCCCTTTAAATGTGCCAAGTCACCTAGTTATATTTACTCAGTCTAGTAATCATCTCAGACCTTCACTGGGACCTAGTTAAAACTCAAATTCTCAGGCCCTACCCCAGACCTACAAAATCAGAAACAATGAGTATGAGGGCCCTATAATCTCTTAACCAGTTGTCCAGTTTATTCTAATGCACACTAAAACCTGAGAACCACTGATTTAATTGAACATAGGAATGTACAGCAGGTGTTCAACTTGCTAAGCCAATTTTTTCCCCAAATATTCAGAATGTTTTCCCCAAAAGCTCAAGAACATAAAAGAATAACTACTTTAAGGAAAAGATAAGACCAGTCCCCTCAAAGACTGAATTTCATCCTAATGTAAGGTCAATACAAGCTAGAATAGTTTGACCAATAAAACTTAACTGCAATCTTTGGAATGTCCTACATCTCTATGCTGTCCAATATGGTAACCACTACCCACATATGGTTACTGAGCTATTGAAATATGGCTAGTGCAGCTGAAGAAATGAATTTTTTTTTAAGTTTAAATGAATTTTAATGGCCATGTAGCTACTGGCTACTGTAATGGACTATGCAGGTTTAGAAGCACAGTCTAGAAAACTAAAGACGACCTGGTCTCACTATGATTACTATTCCATCATTTGTACTTTATTTCTAGATCAGATATTGTTTCTCCAGTCAGATACATGTTAACCAAAGAGCTTCTGAAGTTAAACAACTTTAAAATACTACAATTAAAGCTATCCAACAAAGAAATGAGCGACCTACAGAAATCTATCACTGATGGTTTTTCAGCAAAAGCAGGATACACTTGACATGTCAAAGAAAAGACAAGTGAATGACCCCTGATGTCCAACTCTGAGAACTTACTAGTTTAAGCCTCTTTTCTACTCTATCTTCCTGACAGAGTTCCTAGATAGTTCCCTGACATAGTTGCTAGATAATCAGAAGTATTTGAGGATTACCTGAAGAGCTCAAGGTTCCTGAGACAGGTTTCAGTTTGGATATTACCTCCCATTATCTACCCCACCCTCCAAAGAACACCTACACAACAATCGCATCCAGTGTCTCAACCAACTTCATGGTGTGTTGGGCTTTGAAATTAGTCCGGTCCATAGAATATATCTCTCTTTCAGCCTCTGATACCCCTCTCCATGAATATAGTGTAGAGAACAATTGGTTATTCAGGAGACTGCAAACCGACATAACACATTGTAGGAAAAAACCTGTTAAGCTCTAGACCTGGTTCTGGTTGAGGTTGAGTTCGATGACTTGCAGCTCCCCGACTATGTCAGGTATGCTCCGAATCTGGTTCTTGGAGAGATCCACTACATCCAGGTGCCGTAGGCTACACAGCTGCGGGGGCAGGGCTCTCAGCTGGTTCCCGGAGAGGCTCAGGGTCTTAAGGGCAGATAGTTGCCCAAAAGTAGACGGCAGCTCTCTCAACTGATTGTTGTTTAGGCTTAGTGTCTCCAGCTTCTTCAGATTGCATAACTCGTCAGGAAGAGCAGCTAGCAAAGAAAAATTTAAAAACCTGAATCTGATACAGCTGAAAAACACCTTTGATGAAGTTTAAAAAAAAACTATATGGCAGTCTGTTACGCCTCTTGTTAAATATACATAGGCTTTTCACATGTTGCCCCATTTTTAAGTATTGCATCTTTACCAACATAGTCTTCAGAAGGTGAGGGTGCCATCAAAATGCAGGAAAACATTATGTGTATAATGGACTCCTTTTGTGAAGAAGCCACTGCACAATCCCACAGCAGTTTTGTGGGATTGGAAAGCCCTCTCCTTCTCATACTATCTGCCCTTCCAAATTAGCAGCAAAATTAACTCTGTTTACAGTACACTCCAAAGATAGTCCCTTTCAAGTCCAAATTAACTTCCTATCAATCATTACCCCACCAGAGGAGGCTTATAGATGTAATTATAAGAGACTGAACTCCTCGAGGATTCTGCCGTTCTCCCGCGTCTTGAGTTCCCGGAAGCTTGTAAGAAAAAAACAAACAAACAAACAAAAACACCTTTTTTGTTGTTGCTAGGTTCTGATACATTTGCTTGAATACCAGTTTAATAACATTATAATTATACTCCAAACTCTATTCCAAAAGAAAAACCACCCTTCTTAAAGCCGATCACTAGCAAAATTCCCAGGAGCAAAAGCCATACTTAATTTGTTATTGTTCAAGGAGAGGCTCTTCAGCAGAGTGAACTTCCCTACGACCACAGGCGGTAGACTCTCAATCTTGTTGTTGGACAAGTCGATGGTCCTGAGATTGCTTGTCAGCTTCTGCAACTCTGAGGGGAACTGAAGGAAGGGGTTCTCAGAGCAGAGAATCTCTTACCTGTGAACTTCACCGCCCGCCGGCCCTTACCCTTTACACTCCTCGGTCGGATCCCTCCCAGTTCTCACCTCGGTCAGCCCACGGTCCTTAAGTTGAAAGACACCAGTTTTCTGCGCGGTCTCCACATGAGCGCGGAGGGCACTGTTTCCCATTCTAGGGCCAAGGCTCAGGTCCCTGCGGGAAGGAAGCGCAGCTGTCACTAGTCGGTTCTAGCCGGTGCCCAGTCACCCCGTCGGCCTCCCGGCTGCGTCTCAATCCCCAGCTGTCACCTCCTGCCGATCCCGGGATCTTAGAGGCCAGCTCAAGAGTGGCAAGAAAGAAAGAGAAGAACACCAGGCCCTGCCGATTTTGCAGCTGATCCGAGGCGAGACGGTGCTAGGAGTTGAGGGAAGATCAGGGACCCCCCCCGAACTCGCCTCCTACAGCTCAGCTCACGGATGGTTCGGCAGGGGAAGACCCGGGATCCGCGCTCACTGGGATGCGCTGCCCAGGCTTCCGAACGGGCGGAAACGCCCTGTGACGTCATCGAGGCGCGCGGTGCGTTCCACTCACTCTGCGCGCCACCCGGGAAGGCGGCTCCCAGCCATGGCCGCGGCGAACCCCTGGGATCCGGCTACCGCGTTAAACGCTGCTGGGCTACTGCTGGGCCATTTCATTACATCGGAGTTGGTCACTCAGGTGCGTGGGGACGATTGCGTCATTAAGGAGGTGTACCCGGTGGTGACAGAAGCTGGCTGTGAGGTGGTGGTGGTGGTGCTGGCTGCCAGAGTGGGTGTGAGGGTGCCGGCTGGAGGCCGATAGGGCTGCTTGCTGGCAGAAGTGACTGGTCCGCGGTGGGTTATGCACAAGTAGGGCTCTGAGTAGATGGTCTTTAAAATGTCTGGCAGGCGAGATATCTCAGGTCAGTTCGTGGGCGATAATAAAAACTAATGTTTCCCCGCCTTTTTTCAATCTAGTGGTAACCGCCTCTAGATTGTATGCAAGGCGGGGTTGGGAAATAATGGGTAGTTAGAACAGACGTTCCCAAACGATGCTCATCGTGTAAAATATTGAAATCTTACGAAGCGCTGGGTACGGTAGGGCGCCAAGGGAAGCAAGCATCTTTACAGGCTAGGGAGTCGGGGGGCTGGGGGGTGGGGAGGGAGTTATTGGCGAGAAAGACCCGAAAGGCCTGGATATGAATGGCAAAACATAACCACAACACTCCCCAGTTCTCATCTTCCTCACTTCTCTCCTGTGTTTTCTTCCTACCAACTTGTCTAGGGCTCTGGGAGATAGTGAAGGACAGGGAAGCCTGTCATGCTGCAGTCCTTGGGGTCACAGAGTCAGACAGTTTGTCTAGTCCAGTTCTGTAACAAAGTAATTTGATAAATTCATACTATAAGACATTTGGGATTTGTCAGTCTAGAATGTATTGGTAGAAGATAAACCAAGGGAATAAGTCTCTGGTGAGTTAGGCTGCTGATTGCTTTGGGGAAGATCTTCCTTGTGTCCTTCAGGTAAGGCTAATTAGACATACTTGTTTTTGCCTACAGGTAAGATCTGCCAATCCATAGCTCCTTAAGACCATCTTATAATCTTACTACACAGCTAGATCCAATGAGGAAACTTCTCAGATTTGTAGCATGATTCTACTTTAAGCAAACTGTACATATGAAAACCTATTTTTATTATAAGGATTTATCCTTCTTTCAGAATGATGTATTATATGATCCCTTTACACAGTCTATCCATTAAGTACACATCATCCCATGTGTGTTAAAAATTAAGAGCGATGCTTAAAACTGTGTGATGTGGTATGATACAACGCTTTTAGAATATATAGCTTATTGAAGCTTTGTTATGTTTTGATCTATCCATTGGAGAATGGTTTAGTGAAAGAAAGGTAGGGTTAATTGTCTATAGGATGATAAGGGATACTGCTTTGGCTTATGCCCTGTTGTTGTTGTTCTTACTCTGTGTGGATACAGGGACTGCAGCCTGCCAGTCTTCCCTGTTCTTCACCATCTCCCAGCGTTTGCTCAAATTCATGTCCATTGAATTGGTGATGCTATCTGACCATCTCATCCTCTGCCATCCTCTTCTTCTGCCTTCAGCCTTTCCCAGCATCAGGGTCTTTTCCAGTGAGTCAGCTCTTTGCATCAGGTGGCCAAAGTATTGGAGCTTCAGCTCAGCATCAGTCCTTCCAATGAATATTTAGGATTGATTTCCTTTAGGATTGACTGGTTTGATCTCCTTGCAGTCCAAGGGACTCTCAAGTCTTCTCCAGCACTGTAATACAAAAGCATGGATTCTTTGGTGCTCAGCCAACTCTTACATCCATACATGACTACTGGAAAAACCATAATTTTGACTATACGGACCTTTGTTGGCAAAGTGATGTCTCTGCTTTTTCATACTTTGTCTAGGTTTGTCATAGCTTTCCTTCCAAGGAGCAAGCATCTTTGAACTTCATGGCTGCAGTCACCGTCCACACTGATTTTGGAACCCAAGAAAAGAAAATCTGTCACTGTTTCCAACTTTTCCACATCTATTTGCCATGAAGTGATGGGACTGGATGCCATGATCTTAGTTTTTTGAGTGTTGAGTTTTAAGCCAGCTTTTTCAGTGTCCTCTTTCACCCTCATCAAGAGGCTCTTTCGTTCCTCTTCACTTTCTGCCATTAGAGTGGTATCTGCATATCTGAGGTTGTTGATATTTCTTTTAGTGGCTTTGTGAAAGTGTTAATCGCTCAGTGGTGTCCCACTCTTTGCAACACCATGGACTGTAACCCTCGAGGTTCCTCTGTCCATGTAAATCTCCAGGCAAGAACACTGGAGTGGGTAGCCTTTCCCTTCTCCAGGGGATCTTCCTGACCCAGGGATCAAACCCAGTCTCGTGCATTGCATGCAGATTCTTTACTGTCTGAGGCAGCACGGAAGTCCTTACATCCTATATATTCTGGCAAACTTGAGTCACAGCGCCTTGATCTGAGCTCCCTCTACTGCCAATACATGAGATAAGGATCCGGACCTAAAAAAACCCCTAAGAATCTATTTTCTAATAGAAAGGAAGAGTACTTCACATACATAAACACATAGTCTATTTCCTGTGTACTGTTCTCTCCCGCACCTTGCTCCCATTTTAGAGCCTTTCTGTTACGCTGCCTCCCTTTTAATGTCCCTAGCTAGAATTCAGTATGAAGAAGAAAGGACAGAGAAAAAAAGAAAGAATGCTCACAGATACAAGCATAAACAGATATGTAGATATAGATACCACAGTGTTATCAGGATTTTTATGTGAATGTCTAGCACATGAATGTCCTGGATTTCAACTTCTTGTACCTAGCAGCAGAGTAAACAGAAATACCCTAAACAGATGCCCAGTGGCATGTAAAGTTCATATAATATATAATGGTAGTTGTCAATAGTAAAGACTTTTGAATTTTCCAATCCTTGCTTTTTTTTTTTTAAGATGTTCCCTAAGTCACAGTCCTCAAAACAGAATTTCCATTTACTAGAGGAATTTGACTATTCTTTCTCTCCTCTCTCCTTTTCTTGAAAATTCTTGTTTTCCCTTTGGTTTCTCTTGCATGTTTGTGGATAAGCTCCATTACCCTGTTGTTGAACCCAAGAGTTTACTAGTTTGCAAACGTGCAACCAAGATTAGTTGTACAAACATGGAAGGATGGAGAGGTACCAGAGAAGGAGGAAGTTACAATGAGAAATAAGAGATGTTTTACTTTAATTTACCTTCTTACCTTTAATTTACCTTCTAAGAGAGAACAGAAAGAGTCAGGCCAATATAATGGAAATGCAAATTGAATGTATTTTCATTTCAGCCCTGTTACACATTGGCAGTATAAAGTTGAACTAATACTTAACCTCCCCAATCCTCAAATTTGCCATCAGTAAAATATCCTGTGTTGTCTGCCTCAGTGAATGGTATAACTATCTGTCTAGTCACCTGAAGCGGAATCCTTGGGAGTCATTACTGACTTGACTGTCTTCCTCATTCCCTGTATCAACTAGGACTTACGAATTCCATCTTCTTAGGAACTAATATTTCTCCCTCCCTTTCCTTTTTAACTGCTACTCCCCTAATCCACAGTTTCATCTTCTCACCAGGTATGCTGTGGCAGCCACCTGTCTAAATATCCAACCTTCAGTCTGTCTCCACTAGTTTTTTGTCTGTTTGTTTGATGTTGTTGGCTCATTACCAGAGTAGGTTGGGGTTTTTTACCCCACAATGTTGTGAAACTCTTTTCAAACTTTTCTTTATTATCCCCAATGGAATCCCCATACTCATTAAGCAGACACTTCCCACTCCTTCCTCCCACCATCTCCATTAATTTTATTTTCCATACTATCTCCATTTACATTTCTAAAATAGGTATTATATATGATTGTGTCACTTCTTCATCAGAAAACTTTAAATTGCTCTCATTTTCTGCATTATGATTGCTTATCATAGCTATCAAGATCTGCCATGATTATGTAGAAAACTATGTTTCCAGATTCATCTTCCCCTTCTCACATATATGTTAGTACTAACTGACAGTTACTGAGCATTTATAATGTCTAGAATACCTTTTCCTTACCATCCATCATGAGCTTGTTAAGGGCAGAGAGCTTGTTTCATTCATCTTTGAATCTTCCATTATCTAACTCAATGTTTATAAATTGATTATCATCATTCAGCCCACTTTTGCTATGAAGGGCCATAGAGTAAGTATTTGAGGCTTTTAGGTCCATAGGGTCAAAACTAGGCTATTTTAGTATGAGAACAACATGAGATAATAAGTAAATGAATGAACAAAGTTGAGTTTCAGTGAAACTTTATTTCTGGACCCTAAAATTTGAATTTCATTTAATTTCCATGTGTCACAAAATATTTTTCTTTTCATTTTTTTTCTCCAACAATTAAGAAACATAAAAACCATTCTTAACCCTTAAGCTACACAAAAACATGCAATGGGCTATATTTAATTCATAGGCGGTGGCTTTCCAGCCCCTGGCCTATATGGTATCTGAAGTTCTTTCCTGTGCAAACATTCTAGAAAAGAAAAAGAGAATAGAAAATCTATGGATGAAGCTAAGGGATGAAAAAGATAATGTTCTTATTCTGTGATAACCTGCAATTTAAAAAAGTGATAGAACAGACTGAAAGGATATAAAGGAAGTGGGGCAAGGGGATAGGCTTTTTACAAGAATAATTATGCCTGAACAAAACTATTCCTTTATCTGAGAGGAAGAATATGGAAAGAGACAATGTGAATGACTTGTAGCCAACAGAGGTCATTTGATGAATCAGATGAATGATTCCATGGCCCAGAGTGTTTGACTTTAGCCCCAGCAAGGCCTAATAGACTAGGTCTTGGTCATTTGTGTAGAAGTGGTTCTCTAGCAAACTCAACCTTAGAATTCTCTGGTAAACTATCAGTAGTGCCAACCTGTTGTGCATGATGCTTTAGGAAATAGTACAAAGTGATTTTGTTTGTTTTTCTTAGTTTTTAAATATTTGGGCAAAGGATTTGTGATGGTGGAGATTTTAAAAACAGGAAATACACATTGCTACTATCCTACTCTGTACTTCATTTTTCAGGGGGAGTGTTGGGCATATCCTCATATTTTAGACATGTGGGTATGCTATTCCAGTGCACACAAACTTTTTCTGACATACTACTACTTACTTTGTCTGTTCATTTACCAATAGGAGATGTTAAATATATCTAAGAAATCAACTTCTTGCTTTGTGAACTTCTCCAGACTACAGCAGATCACAGATATTCAAGCTGAAATTTACCAGGTAAATTTTGTTGGAGTTTCTGCTATCCACTTCTGCTAAAGGAAAGCATCTTAATTAGTTCCAACAATTTTCTTGCATGTAAAATGGTGTCTAGGACATAGCTGTGTAGGCTTTTCTTAGCAGTAGTTAATAATAGTAGTAATCATAGTAGCAATGAGTAGTAGCAATAGCAGCAACAGGGCTTAAACACCAAAATGAAAAGCTTCCATAACAAATCGTCTTCCTGCTCCCTTTAAATATTCCTGAGTTAAAGACTGTCCTTTTTTTTGAATCAAAGTTTTAAGCTTTTACTTCAGGTGAGCTAAGTGGTATTTTTGTTTCTAATGTAGAAAAACCTGGAAATTGAACTCCTAAGCCTAGAAAAAGATGCAGCAGATGTTGTCCATCCTTCCTTTTTGGGTAAGTGATTTTAGTTAAATGAAGTAATCATTAGAATGTCAACTTTTTCTTAAGATTACTTTAAATAAGCACTAGGCTACAAGGTTATGATAATTTTTCCAGGTATTATGCCAAAGCTAACAAAGTCTGCTTTTTGGTGTGCTCAAATAGAAGTCCTGTGGGCTTAGCTGTTGCAAATAGCATAAAAAGTGGCCGAGGTAGGAGCTCCTCAGAGTCAGTAGAGCTTAAAAGACAAAGGCTGAAGAATCTTACAGATGAAAGGATCCTAAAGAGACATGATAGCTAAAGCAAAGAGTAGCCATGGATTGAATATTTGATTAGAAAAAATTTTTTTTGGTATAAATGACATTATTATTATGATATTTGGTGATGTTTAAATATAGGCTGCATTAAATATTGGTAGTATTGTACCAATGTTAAATTATCTGAATTTGATAGTAGTGATTTGATCCTCTTATATAACTACACTTGTTGTTACATTGGAGAATGTTCCTATTTGGTAAAATACATGCTAAAGTTTTAGAAGTAAAAGGTCACGACATCTGCAACTTACTCTCAAATTGGTTATGAAAACTATATGTATGTGAGTATAAAGAAAGAGGAGTAAAAATGTAGCCAAATGTTGGTTGGTGAGTTCGTGAAATGTATATGGGAGTTCAGTCAGTGAACTTTTCTTGAAACTCTTCTATAAGTTTGAAATTTTTTTAAGATAATAATTTAAGAGTCAGTTGATAGCCATTAACTGAATTCGGGGGAAAATACTGAAATAAAAGTAGCTGAGAAGACAAATGTTTGCTTTTTAGTGTTCAAATAGAATATTGGAGGCAAAGACTTTATGAGAAAAATATGGCTCTGGCTATAAAAAGTAGGAGTAGAATTGGAAAACACTAAGAATTTAGCACTAGATTGGGTAATCAGTAGGAAAAGTAAGAGGAAATATTAATAAGTGAAAATGAAACTGGTATTGGATAGTAATGATAGCAAAGAAAGGGGAGATATTTAGGAGAGAAATGGTGGGATTGATTTTTGATGTTGATAGTGATTTCAAAACTTGTCCTGTTAACTATAAATTCTGATTCTGGTTTTTGTAGCTCAGAAGTGTCATAGTCTGCAAAGCATGAATAATCATTTGGAAGCAGTGCTAAAAGAAAAGCGGTCCCTCAGGCAGAGACTGTTGAAACCCATATGCCAAGGAAACTTGCCTATTGAAGCTGTTTATCACAGGTTAGACTACAAAGTAGACATTAACAGTTACATGTTTCCTGAGAGTAGTTTTGTTTAGACTAGTAGTTATTTCATAGCATAATTCATTGAATAGTATATGAGTGATTGTATCTATTAACATTATTATTAATGCTGATACATTAAACCAGAAAGAAAACCCTTTACTTTTAAAGAATTATAGCAATGGTGAAGAGAAAGGCATTTCTTTTGCCCAGTGTCTTGGAAATTATAATGAAAGAAATTAGATTCATAACATACTAAGGTGGATAAAATCATTTTTATTGTGTATAGACAGTTTTCTGTGATATAAACTTATTATTATATTAATATCTCTATATAAAAATTCTGTTGGAGTTTAAGCAGGGACAGATGAACACAGGGTCAACTAAAAGGAGGAAAATTACAATTCTGATCTCACCTGTGCTGACTGAATGCCTCAAAGCCTTGGGCAAATGACTTAAGTTTTTACCTTAGTTTCCCATTCCATGGAAAGGGCATGCTCTCTTTTTCTCAAAGGAGTATGGGAAGTATCAAATTGAAGTTATGGGTTATTATTAATAATAAATAATAATAAAATTAAAAAGCAGGCATCTGGGGATCTGATTGCTTTCTCCAACCAGTGTCTTACTAACTGACCCTGAGCCGATCAGTATTTCTTTTTTTTTTTTTAAATTTTATTTACTTATTTGGCTATGAGAGGTCTTAGTTACAGCATACAGGATCTTTAATGGTGGCATGCACAATCTAGTTCCCTGACCAGGGATGGAACCCGGGCCCCCTGCATTGGGGAGTGCACAGTCTTAGGCTGGACCACCAGGGAAGTCCCGGTATTTCCTCTTAATTGTCAAATCTTTTACCTTACAGTCAAATAATAGATATACAAATCCCGTGCTTGGGAATATATTCAGTATAGTAAAATATCATTAATGTATATACTATACATTATAAATATCAGAAGAACTAAGTAATAATTTGAAGGCATTTTGCAAATATAAAGATTCAAAGTAGTTTCTTGTGTAGGCTATTTCAGTGAAGCACATTTATCCTTGTTGTCTTCACCTTCACCAGGAATAAGTAGATTGAAATGGAATGAGGTTTTACCTAGAGAAATTCTTTTACTTACGTGAGAAAATTATTCACATTCATGTTTGTCTAACATGAGGTAACATTAGACACGATTAGTGTTCTCTCTGTTTTTCTGTTTGGATGACAAGCTAATTCCTGTTTAAAATGAAAAAGAAGGACCTTTTTTATCACTGACATTTCTGTGAATGCAGAAAGGTTATTAATGACTCATTGGGTAGATTGTAATTCTCTTATTTCATATTAAAAGTTCTAATTAAAGGGAAAAAAGAAAACACAAAATATCTGAAGTGGGAAAAAAAATAGTTGACTTTTTTCTCTCTCCTTCAGATACATAGTGCATTTGCTGGAATTGGCAGTGACTTTCATTGAGAGATTAGAGGATCATCTTGAAACAATTAGAAATATCCCTTATTTAGATGCAGATCTAAAGAAAATGGTGAGTATTACCAATAGCATTTAGGTACTTCATCATCTCACCTTGCTTATAACTATCGTTGGTTCTTTTATACTAGAATCTCAAATGTGTGCTCTCCCTGTTTAACTTTTTGATGGCTAATATTATCAGTGGATTATTTTTTTAATCAGGATGCCTTTTTTAAAATTTATAAGTCATTTTACATTGTTTTATCCTGATATTTAATAAATGTGTTATCTTCATTGTGCAAGGAACTATGCTATATGTGTCATGAGAGAGAAACAGATATGACCAATCCCTTCCCTCAGATTCTCAAGGTTTGGTGAGAGAAAGTATAAGATACTTTCTACTTTATAGTATTATTTGCACAGTGAGTACAGCAGAGAATGATAAAGAAGATGCTATCTATTAAGCACAGAAAAGGGGGTGATTACTTTCACTTTAAGAAGATTGGGAATAGAATAGGAAGTAGGAATACTTCAGTAAAGTTTTTTTTTTTTTTTCAAAGTTCAACACAATGCATTTATATTTCTTTGACATTTACCAGACATCACAGATTTCTACCAGAACATCACATAAGTTTATTTCAGATGTAACAGCAATGTTAAAATCAACAAGTTTAAATCTTAACTGCACCAAGTAAACTTAGCTATTTAAGTATTTTTAAAGTTATTCCCTCCAAAAAACTGAGGGAGCTCTTCTTTTCCACCCCACATTCCACGGTTTCTCAATAGTTAGTTCTATTTCTGGAGGACTCTCAATTGATAAGTAAACTGCTTTGGGGATATTTCAGAACTTTTTTCCCCAAATGAAAACTAATCTGGACGAATTATATATTGCATAGATTTCTCTGCAGATTTTCTTTAGAACCTAAATGTAATCACCATATGATATAATTTTACCTATTTGCCCCACAGAAAAAAACTATCTTCCCTAAAAAATATGATGGATACATCTTGTGATCTTCTAGTTAATAGAATTATTTTACCTCAATGATAATTATTGTATTTCAAAATAACCTACTCAACATGGGACATTATTTCAGTCTTTACTGACTTCTAGGCACATGAAAGAGTGCCTAGCTTCTACCTCTTCTACATCCTCCTCTTCCATAAATGGATGGAATTATTTCATGTAAGTCTGATGTAGGACAATTCACCTTTTACAAACACAATTTAGGTTAAAGTCAGTGACTAGTGTGGAGAAAGAAACACTAAAATGATAGGGAGCCTACACACTCAATTCAAAAGTTAATATTTTTTCCTCCATAAATAATATGTACTTAATTGTCATGAGGCAGCTATTCGGTTTTCATTAACCACATCTAGGGATACATTCATAGGACTGATTAGATAGTCCAGGTGAAATGGTTATAGAAATAGAGGCAGTGTCATCTCACAAAACTCATTTATATATCAAAATCTATTTTGACATCTGAAGTTTACAAAAAGACTGAATTCTTCAAACTAATCTTGCCTTCTGTAACTCAAGCACTCTTCTCTTGGCAAGAGCAAGCTGAAGCTTATCCATGAAGGTAAAGGTGCTCAATGCTAAACTTTTCTTCTAAGCTTAGATTTGGACTGCTTAAGAAACTGATACCCAAGAAACCAGCAAGGTCTTTCTACATTTTTACTATCTTAAGATTAGAACTCTATGAACTCACTCATCAACTATCTTCTTTTTCTGTATTATTCTTGGCACTCAACTAAGACTGTTGAAGTCTATTGTACCTTGCATTTTCACATTCTCAAATAAGAACTTAAGATTATAAGATGTGCATAAACATTGTGTAAAATAATTTTGTCATTCAATGTATTTGAAGAGATGAAACTTTTATGCCAGAATTTACAGAAGAAGATAAATGTTATGAATCAGCCTTCTTTTTAAAGTCAAATGACAGAAAATTCAAGCTCTGTGCAACGTTTTAAGTCTAATGAAAACATTTCTTAGGCCACTGGTATTGGCAATGTAGAAAATTTTGAATATTGGAGATGGGATTATGGAGGAAAGCCTGAAAATTTTAGAGGTCTTCTATCTTACAGAAAGTTACTGACCTGTCAAAGCCACTCCCTAAGTGCCAGAAAATGATCTGGCATAAACCAGTCCTGTCAGTACAGGAGGTCACAGTGACATTCGCTTTATTAACACTTCTAGACTTCTACTTTTCCCAAGAACAGAAGCAATGTGTTTAATAATTCCCCCTCCCCCAAATCCTTAAACTCAGTATATCACAGGCACAGAATGTAAGCAAATCTGGGATGTTCTCCAACAGATATGCAATAGCACAGCTATGTTATTCTCAAAAATACTGTCTAGATATTCTTTCCTCTAAAATCAAATGCTCAGTGGCCACACTTCTAACAGTCTGCGTTAGCTGACATTAAATGCATTTATTGTGCCACAAATCCTTCTAAGCTTCTGTTTAGGTATTTTTTTGTATGTCCAGGAGACAATACCTACTTCAGGTTTACTTAAGGGCACTGACCTATAAAGGACATCAACTCCGTATTTAAGGTCTGACCAACTACTGTGGGTTTACTGAAGAAAAACAACAGAAGAAAAAAAGCAGATCACAACAAACCTCTTTAGGTCAGTTAAAGGCTGTATCTCTAGCTGGGATATTAAAGAAAAAAATTAATCTCACCAGCCCATATGCTAAAAGATAATGCCACTAGTAACAATCAACAGCAGGAAAAACAAACCTGCTAACCAACAGCCCACTCATTAGCAAAAAGCAGTTTAACTCACATACTGAGACCAAAGTCTAATACTACCAATTCAAACTGTCCCACCCACCTTCAGCCACCAGCAAGGAAGGAAGAAATAACTGCTTAACAGAACAAAATAAGCTTAGTATTTCTTACAAGGATAACAATGGCCCAACTCCTGAGATAATACTCAGAAGGACAAAAGGTGGATTGAAGGCAATGTATAGGATTAGTATCCCACAAAATCTTTTAAAAACCCAAAGTACCACAAACACACTAAACTTGTCTAAGAGTTAAAGAACAAGATATTGCTGCTGCTGCTTTTTGTCCTTTGAAATAATACAATATTTTGTAGGCTCTGCCTTTCAGTGTGAAAGCAGGACATTAAAAAAAAATGGAAATTGACACTCAGATTTTTGGGACCATATATACCTTAACTGTGAAACCGATCTATACCTTCTCCTTCCTACAATCAAACCACCTCACAAAAATAAGAAAACTAAAACAATCCAAACATGATTAATAAGTCCTTAAAAGTTTAACACTTTTAGAGGAAAGGGAAGCAAGTTTTGAAAGGAGGAAAAGTAAGAACAAGGAAGGGGGAAAGTTTTAAAAGAAAGGGGGTTATCATTACCATCTTTCTAAATTCCATATATATGTGTTAGTATACTGTAATGGTCTTTATCTTTCTGGCTTACTTCGCTTTGTATAATGGGCTCCAGTTTCATCCATCTCATTAGAACTGATTCAAATGAATTCTTTTTAATGGCTGAGTAATATTCCATGGTGTATATGTACCACAGCTTCGTCATCCATTCGTCTGCTGATGGGCATCTAGGTTGCTTCCATGTCCTGCCTATTATAAACAGTGCTGCGATGAACATTGGGGTGCACGTGTCTCTTTCAGATCTGGTTTCCTTGGTGTGTATGCCCAGAAGTGGGATTGCTGGGTCATATGGCAGTTCTATTTCCAGCTTTTTAAGAAATTTCCACACTGTTTTCCATAGTGGCTGTACTAATTTGCTGATAACCCTATATGCAAAACAGAAAAAGAGACTCCGATGTATAGAACAGACTTGTGGACTCTGGGAGAAGGCGAGGGTGGGATGTTTCAAGAGATCAGCATCGAAACACGTATATTATCTAGGGTGAAACAGATCACCAGCCCAGGTTGGGTGCATGAGACAAGTGCTCGGGCCTGGTGCACTAGGAAGACCCAGAGGGATCGGGTGGAGAGGGAGGTGGGAGGGGGGACCGGGATGGGGAACACATGTAAATCCATGGCTAATTCATTTCAATATATGACAAAACCCACTGAAATGATGTAAAGTAATTAGCCTCCAACTAATAAAAATAAATGAAAAAAATATATAAATAAAATGGTACACAAAAAAAAAAAAAAAAAAGAAAGGGGGGTGGGGAATCAATGGGCCTCTCTTTTATTTGGCGACAAGCAAGTGCAAGAAAGTTCATCTGTAATTTGTTCAGTTGTCTGTCTTTTGCACATCTGCGTTCTGGCCAGAAGGGACTTTGAGGTTTTTCTGCAGCACATGAGCATCTGCGGGCTCTATCCTCTTATAGTAGTTCTTCTTTGTCTCAATAATCTCAAAGCCAAACTTTCTGTAGAAGTCAATTGCAGACTCATTGCTGATCTGGACATGCAGATAGATGTTGTCAAAAGTGCCATCTTTCTCACAGATGTTTAAGACATGATTTAACATTTTAGTTCCAATTCCTAGCCTTCGGTATGGTGCCAGACATCCTAGTGTCATGATGTAAAGTCTCTTCTGATTCTGTGAATGATCCACCCTACAGCACACGGCACCCACTGCGATATCATTGAAATAGGCAAGTTTTGCTAGTTCGCCAACCTCCAGCACATCCTTGTAGAACTTGTCATTGTAGCTGACTGGAAAGATGACCTGGTTTAATCTCTTCAGCTGTTTAATATTGTGTGGTGTCACATCTCCCAGCTCGATCCGGCTACCTTTCATCTTCCCCGCCTGCTGAGGCCGTTGTTACCACCGATATCAACGCCGTTGTCGTCGCCGCCCTGAGCTCTCCGCGCCCTCAGCTCGGGCCGCCCTGAGCTCTCCGCGCCCTCAGCTCGGGCCACTCAACCCCACAAGCCGGCCTCCTCGCCTAAGGCAAGGAGCTGAGCGGGTGACGGAGGCCGCGAGAGTTTAGCGCGGCCCTGCGTCTTCGGAAGGGGCGGAGGTGCCTCCCGCCGCCGCGCTAGTGCAGCAGCTTCTCCACACGTGCACACGGGGAACTAGCCTCCCGCCCGCCGCCCTAAAGTTTTAAATAGGAGTTAGAAGCAAGCTGCATCTTGAAGAATCAGTGAAAAAGAGTAGCTCAGCCAAAAGCAGTTTGAGGCAAGACATGAAAATTAGAGAACACAGGTAGTTTGAGAGAAGAATGGTACGCCAGTTGATTTTTAAGGGTATTGATAGGGAGATTGGCTCCAGGTTAGTTCATGGAATATTTTGAAAATCAAACTAAGAAGTTTAGACTTTGAGTATTGGGGAACTGTTTGATTTTTTTTCATTTGTTTTTAGAGATGTGCACAGAGGGTTGATTTACTTAACCAGAACTGTAGTTTAATCATGGAGAAAATAACTGGGGAGAGTGGACTGAGCCTTGTCACTCCCAAGTATGGGCACAGCATCAGCATCACCTGGAACCTTGTTAGAAATGCAGAACTCCTTCATCTTAGACCTTCAGAATCTGAATCTGTAGTTTAACAAGTTCCTCAGGTGATTTCTGTATACATTAAAATTTGATGACCTGTGGGTTAGAGGACTAGGCAGAGGAACCAAAGGCAGAGAAACTTGGAGAATAAATACAGTTGTTCAGATAAAAGATTTAAAGCATCTGAATACAAAGGATTGTGTTGATTATTTTAGATTCTGGAGGTCAAGTTTCTATCTTGTAGCTACTATTTGGACAAGCGACACATCCAAGGAATGAAGTTTCTAGCCTTGGGGACTTGAGGATGAGTAGTGTCAAGAGATTAAAGAAACCAATAAGTTTGTTTTCTGACATGTCTTATACAGAGAGTAAATGGTTAGTCATGGTTTGTTGAACTGTAGTTAAATTGAGTTTGAGATATTGAGTATGCATCTAGATGGAGATTTCCAGAAAACTGAAATGTAGGACTGAACTTTAGGAAGAATAGTTTGACAGTATAGACTGAGTGTCATTTGCATGAAGGTGATCAGTGAAGACAAAGGAGAGTTGAGCTCACGAAAAAGAAGGAGAGCACATTAAGGAGCCTTTGTATTAAGAGGCTGGAAAAGATCAGTTGTAAACTTTTGGTGTCATAATTATTATGATACAATAATGATGTATTAATGATAGACATGATTTCTCTCCTGTTTTCCCCTTCTCTCATATGTTACAGAGCACAGCTTTAGCAAAGATGGATATTTTGGTGACTGAGACAGAAGAACTGGCAGAGAATATACTCAAGTGGCGAGAACAACAAAAGGAAGTTTCCTCTCATATCCCCAAAATATTAGCTGAAAAAAATTCTCTTCATAAACATGGTGTCATAGTGCCTCCTTTACCTCTTACTTCTAAAGTTAATGTTCAAACTATTAATGCCAAGTAATTATCAACCGTTTTTATTTAATTATATGTAATTGTGTGAAGCCCATTTCTAGTCAATTATAACACAAGTATTTATAGATTTTGCCACTAACCATATTGAAAGAGCCCTCTTTATATTGAAATACTAAGATTCCAAGTTCATTAAGAAAAAAACTGCATTTTCTTTTGTTTTCCATGTATTTTTATTCCACTTTTCAGTAAAACTCAAATATAACTATGGCATTTTATTAACATGAGTGCATTAACCATATCTTAGGCAGCAGACTTTATTATGTTTTCAAAAAATGCATGTTTTTGAATTAGAAGAGTCTAGAATCTGAAAGTATGTTGATTATTCCCGTGGGATTGTCACTAAGTGTGCAAAAGAATAACAGCAGACCAGACTTCGATCCTTTGAAAGGCCTGCTTGTAAAGTTGGACCTCGGCTGGCATCTGGAAACTTAGATTTCAAGAGGGTTCCCTCCACTCTCGTCAGTTCGAGTTGCTTGCTGTGACTAAGGTGTTTGTACAGTGTGGTTTGTGCTAGCACATGCTTTCTTCCTGGGAATCTAGAATTTGGATATATGCTATGCAGGGTGTACCTATGTGAATAGCCCACAATAACAACCCTGGCACAGCTTGTTTCTTTGTTTTGCATTGTTTTGGCCCTGCCATGTGCCTTGTGGGATCTCAGTTCCCCAACCAGGTATTGTACCCGGGCTGTTGGTAGTGAAAGCATGGAGTCCTCACCACTGAACTGCCAGGGAATTCCCTGACACTGCATCTTTTGTTTTTGTTTGTTAGATTTTGGCATTGCATCTTTAATGAGGTTTTACGGTAGACAACATTTCACACATGTCACAATTCAGTTGCTGGAGGAATTAAGCACATCCTATGGGACTCTATTGGCAGAGGTCTCTGGAAGTTTGTGCCTGGTTCCCCCCCGCCCCCGACTTTGCACTCTACACCTTTTGCTTTGCTCTTCTGCTTCGAACACTTTTGCTGGAGTAAATTGTAGCCATGAGTACAGTGATGTGCTGAGTCCTTTGAGTCCTCCAAGCATCTCATCAAACCAGGGTTGCAGGGCGAGGGGTTTTGGGGACCCAACACATGAAGCAGTTCCAGAGGATGTGCACTGGCAGCCTTAGAAATAGGCTAAAAAGCAAAGTAGAGCACAGAAAAGAAAAAGGCACATTATGGTAAAACTTTGAGAGGTTTTACCTCCCAAATTGCTCAGATATTTTACATATCAGAGTTTATTATGCATATAAAAGAGACTGGTATACTAAGTCTTAGGGTGTATTTATTTGTATCAGGAGTAAAACTGCTCTTGGCTTATTTTCAAGCTTAGGGTTCTCTTTTGCTTTAAATGTATGCTTCAGTATTTTTATACTGAAAACAATATTTTATACTGTTGCATTCTCTATCACCAGAGTTCACTCATCCTTGTATTCAGCACACTCTTAAAGACAAGAAGACCTCAACATGGTGGATGAGTTAAGTAGCTGTCCATAAGGAAACAGGATCATTACCCAAAACTATCCTGCTAAAACAACATGGTTTGAAGCCTGTTTTGCTGACCTTTGCACATGGGGTATTGAAGAGTTGTCATAATTTCTTGAATATTGCTGAACATTGCCTAGACACTTTGAGCAAAACTTTTAGTTGTATTTCATTAGAAATCTGTTCAAGCCCATTCTTGGTTTCAAACATCTTACTAAGCATTTTCTTCATGTAGTTTCATATATGTATATATGAGTATATATATTTTTTAATGTCACAGTTATTGATATATGTGGTTGTTTTAAGTATCTTTTTTGCCTTTTGTTGTCTTTTATGTCTTTTTCAAGATAAAAAAATAAACCTTTAGTTTCTAACTAAAATTTTGTGGTCCTTGTCTGAATTCTGTATTGAAAGGACAGATTCTTTATTTAGCATACGCAATTAAAGTATAAGGATACAGTTTATCTGATTCACAAAAGCTTGAGATAAGTTAAGACTGAGGTCTACTACAAAGGGAAAAACTAATTTAGTACTGTGCTGAGGTAAATAAGTGTGGCTCAGTTGTTCTTTTCCCCCAGCTTCTAGACATATAGATAACTATCAATGTTGTTTAGTCACTAAGTTGGGTCTGACTCTTGGAGCCCTATGGACTGTAGTCCACGAGGCTCCTCTGTCCATGGGATTCTCCAGGCAAGAATACTGCAGTGGGTTGCCATTTCCTTCTCCAGGGGATTTTCCCAACCCATGGCTCTTGTGTCTTCTGAATTGGCAGACAGATTCTTTACCACTGAGTCACCAGGGAAGCCCCACGCTCAAGTTCTCAGTTGCTTCAGTATTGTCTGACTCTTTGTGGCCCTGTGGACTGTAACCCACCAGGCTCCTCAGTCCATGGGATTCTCCAGACAAGAATACTGGAGGGGGTGGCCCTCCCTCCAGGGGATCTTCCCGACCCAGGGATTGAAATCGAGTCTCCTGTGTCTCCTGCACCGCAGGCGGATTCTTTACCGTTAAGCTACCGGGGAAGCCCCAGATACTATCAATAAAACCAACCAAACAAAAATAGTTCTGAGTGTTTTTCTACTTACACTAGGTGTGTGAGAGGTGTGAATTCACTTCCAACACAAGAATGATGCTACTTTATGAAGACCATTCTGAAGAAATTGAGCTGCTGCCTGATTTTTCCAGCATTTTTTCTTATTTTACCCCTTGCTCTGATTTGTGATTCTGCCGACCTAACCCCTGTTATCTTCTCAATGTTCCATATAGTTAGGAAAATAGTCTGAGGAACATGAAAACCCAAAGGGTTTCCTGACATGCAAAATATAGAGTTGGGATATTAATAAAATTAATCAATGTATTATGAATTTCCTGAGGTAATCCCTGTAAAATATGAGTTTATACGAGATTTATTCTGCAATTTGGGGAATCTACTCAAGTAATTAAGTTTATCTTAGAAATTAGTATAAGTCAAGATAAGCAGATCACGTTCTATCAAGATAAGCAGATCACATTCTAGAGTTCTTTTTATTTTGCCTTTCTCAGCATTTCCAAGTTATATTTCCTCTTCTTTTGGAAAAACCACATATATGTTTGTAGGAAAAGATTTACATTAGGATGTGGTAAGAGCAGGAGTCCCATTAGCAATTTATGAACTTTTCCTAGGAGACTATAGACCTCCAAGGTTGCACTACCCAAATTTAGGGTACTAAAACAGGAGTCAAATATCTTGAGACTTTGAATCACTTTAATGTAGAAGTCTAGTAAAAGGGAAAAGTCATTCATTTCCTGAAGGCTGTGGTGAGATTACAGTTTCAAGAAGACCCTACTCAGACTCAATATGCTTCCTTGTCAAAAATTAATTTACCTCAAGATGGCAACATATACTTATTTTTGATCAGTAGATACTAATAAAATTTTCTGTAACTTACAGTTTCTTTTCTGAGTCTTACCTTTTATGGGGCATAAAAATTTACCCTGGTCAATGAAGATTTACTTGAAAAACTTTGCTGGAAGGAAGACTTTCTGCAGAAAACCTGATGATAGGTGGGAATCACTGAATAGTGTATCAGTTATCTGAGCTGCCTTTTCTCTCCTCATCTTATATTCTTTCCATCTCCAACCCCAAATTCGGAGATTTAGAGACAGGGCTGTCTTTAGCTACTACATTATGGAGAGTAAAAGCAAAGGCAAATTAGATCTGGTTTTGAATCCAAGTCCCACCATTTACTAGCTGTATATTCTTTCTAACTTACTTAGTCTCACTTTCCTCATCTCTGAAATGAGATGATAACTACCTACTTCATGGGTTCTTGGGAAGAGTAAATGAGATAATACATAAAAACCAATCAGTCACTAGTACATAATAATTGAAAGTCATTGCTGTTATTAGATATAACCAAAACAAAGGTGATTTTGATAACTCCCTTTTTAAGCTATTCCTTTTATTCCTTCAGGCAGTATGTTCCAAAAATATGAACTGGATATGATGGAACTTAGTTAAGGAAACCATTCTGGATCCCCTGAAACTTTACCTTATAAATCACAGTGAGGTCACTTTAAGGAGTCCAGAGGGAGAAATCTAGCTTGGTTAAATCTCAAAACAGTGTAACTTCATTTCTAACAAAGGAAATTCAGATTAAAACTTCTTAAGGTGCTTTTTTCTCACCTATCTAATTGGTGTAAATTCGAAAGTTTGTCGAGATACTCTGCTGATGAGGCTGTGGAAAAACAGGAATGCTCAGTATTGCTGATGGAAATTAAAAAATCAGTCATATAGCCCCTTCGGAGGAGAAAAAGTGTTATTCGCTGTCGTGTCCAACTCTTTGCAACCCATGGACTGTAGCCTGCCAGTTCCTCTGTCCATGGAATTCTCTAGGCAAGAATACTGTAGTGGGTTGCCATGCCCTTCTCTGAGGGATCTTCCTGACCCAGGGGTTGAATGTGGGCCTCCTGCATTGTAGGCAGATTCTTTACCTTCTGAGCCAGGGAAGTCCTACAGAAGAAAACGGGAATATTTAGGTTACGTGTATAAGCATTTCCTTTTGGACTCAGTAGTTCTACTTTCAGGAACCTACTGCAAAGACATATTGGCAAAAATAAGAAAAGATGTATGTATATGGCTACTTACACCAGGAATATTTCTAATACCAAAAGACTGGAAACAATAAGATTTGCTAGTAGTAAGGGAATGATAATGATAATATAAACTATGGACACCCACATAGAGCACCATGCAGATGTAGAAAGGAATGAGGTATATCTCTATATACTGACAGGAAGTGATTCACAGGATACACTGTAAAGTATAAAACAAAGTCAGAGTCAGGAATCCCCCAGCGGCCCAGTGGTTAAGACAGCGTATTCACCGTTGTGGCCTGGAGTCAGTCCCTGTTCGGGGAACTAAGATTCCACAAGCTATGCAAAGCAGCCAAAAAGCTGAAACAAACAAACAAAACCAAAGTCAGAATAGTATGCATGTTACTGCTTATGTAAGAAAGGGGGAAGGATAAAAAATATATTGTATATATAGTATGTATAGTATACATATAAACTGAAAGGCATGGAAATGAAATTTTTTTCCTACTCCTTCAGGTGCAAAAGTAGGTTATTTGAGATATTCCTTATTTCTTTAGGCATTTTTTGCTATGAGCTTCCCTCTTATAGCTGTTTTGTTGTATTTCATAAGTTGTGTTATGTTTATTATGTTTGTTATGTTTGTCTTACATTTTTTACATTTTTTTCTTTGGTTTCTTTTCTGACCCATTAGTTATTCAGTAGCATGTTGTTTAATCACATATTTGTGCATTTTCCAGTTTTCTTCTTATAATTGCTTTTTAGTTTCATACCATGTGGTCAGAAAAGATGTCTGATATGGTTTCAATCCTCTTAAATTTATCTTATTTCATGGCCTTACATAAACTAATATGTCAATTATATGTTAAAAATTTATTAAATTATTACAATTTAAATTTTTTAATTAAAAAATAAAGATATAAAGGAAGCAGAAATCCTTGAAGAAAAGGCCTATATCACACTTGGAACATGTTCAAGATGCACCTGAAACTTCCTGTCATGTCAGAAATAAAGGAAGCTAGCAGAGGCTACTGGAGAAGGCAATGGCACCCCACTCCAGTACTCTTGCCTGGACCCATGGACAGAGGAGTCTGGTAGGCTATACAGTCCATGGGGATGCTAAGAGTCAGACACGACTGAGCAACTTCACTTTCACTTTTCACTTTCATGCATTGGAGAAGGAAATGGCAACCCACTCCAGTGTTCTTGCCTGGAGAATCCCAGGGATGGGGGAGCCTGGTGGGCTGCCGTCTCTGGGGTCGCACAGAGTTGGACACGACTGAAGTGACTTAGCAGCAGCAGCAGCAGAGGCTACTGGAGCTGAGTCAAAAATCAATGAGCCTCTTCAATAAATGGTGTTGGGAAAACTGGACAGTTACATGTAAAAGAATGAAATTAGAACACTTCCTAACACCATACACAAAGATAAACTCAAAATAGATTAAAAACCTAAATGTAAGACCAGAAACTATAAAACTCTTAGAGGAAAACAGAGGCAGAACACTCAATACATAAATTAAAGCAAGATCCTCTACGACTCACCTCCTAGAATAATGGAAATAAAAACAAAAGT